TTTTTATTAGAATATTATAAGGTTACATTGAAAGAGGGGGGATATTTATAAGATAGAAAAGTAGGAAAATAGGAAATAATTAAAAAAAACAAAAGAGGAGAAAAATTACCATCCACTTCCCACCAACAGTTCCAAGAGGGAAAAAGGGGGGGGGGGGAACCACAGAAAAAGGCAGATTTTTTTTAAAAAAAGAATGACTTCCACCCCATCCTCAGGTTTTTAGTCTCATTAAATTCTCCAGTTACTTAAAAAGAAAACAAAAACAAAACATTTCCTCTTATTCTCTTCTTTCTTTCTCATATTCACCAAAGAGGGTCCAATCCATCCTCTTTATCGATTTCCCGGTGCTTTTCTTCAAGAAAAAAGTTAGTTCATCCATTTCTCTTGTTTCTCTGATTTTCCCCAGCCATTCACCCATGGTTGGAGTGCAGTCTTGTTTCCAGAATTTTGCAAAAGATATTCTCGCTGCTGTCGTAAAATACACAGATAGATATGTATGGATGGCAGCTCTCTTGCTTCTGTTTGTTTATAAGTCCTTTGAGATATTAATAGATTGTAATAATTTGTGGTACTCCATAGCACTGCTTCCTAAACTGTGGGTCCCTTCTCCCATGGGGTCTCCTTAGCTCAATGTTGGTACTCTGAAAGTCTGTTGTGCAGTATTTACAATGGACTCTCCGGAAGCTGCTTTGTCAGTGCTTCATAAAAAGGGAAACTAGCCTGTTTAGCAAGGCTTGCAAATACAGATTTCTTAACCGTACATATCTGATTTTCTACCTGTTTTATATGCCTATATACCTGGGGTCAGGCCGAAAGGGGTTGAAAGTGGAAAAGTTTAAGAAGCCCTGTTCTACAGTCTTTTGAACCTTCCCCCAAAATATGTGTACAGTTCTTGAAAGCAAAGCTGTATTATTTTCATTACAGCTGTACTGATCTCTATGGAGCCAACCGCCAGCTTATATACAAATATCAATAATGCTTGGTGTGTACATTCAAGTGTTTGAATGAATATAAATGAAGAAACTGGTACATACCTATCTAACGTGGGAGAGTGTTTGCAAAAAAAAAAAAGCGTTAAGATAGTTGGATTGGCTATATTATTTACTCCCCCTACCACCCCTTTCTGCTTTCTTCTGGATGAAACTGATCCTCTTTAGGGATTTTAATCTCAAACATATGGCTCTGTTATCTGAATGACTGCATAGGGTTGTATTTAGCTCTCAGAAAAGACATTGGCAGTTTTTCAGTGGCTCCAGTATGTTTGCAGAGAACTGCATAGACAGTAGCTTCCTTGTTCTCTATTCAAATTTGAATGATTGGTATATGCATTCATGAATCATACGTGAAGTCTTTCCCCTTCTTATAGAGGAGTGTCAGTGGTGAATGGGGAATTTCGAATCTAGAAATTCATGAATTTAGGAAACGGGTTCAGGAGTTAGGTTTTTATCTGTAGATACCATAACTTGCTGACACCCTGTTTCCCATTGTGTAAATTGATCGAGTGGTTCCATTTCTCCATTTGCCATAAAGACCCCTGTATCCACAGGACATGAACCCACAGTTTCATCTAATCACACATGACAAATTTTTGAGGAATTTTCTAGTTCTTGAAGCAGTTCTGTCATATGCTTCCACATAGAAAAAACCTGGAGGATTTAGCAAATTCCAGGAGAGAATGCCTCTGCAAGTGAAGGTACCTCTAGGTCAACTCTATGATAAGTTCCAGTAGAAGTCAATAATTTCAGTAGAGTTCACTATTATCCATGGTTTCCTGTTTCCATCGTAAATCCAGGAATGTCTTCGTCATGGGTACAGCAGTTATACTATATTCTCATTTGTATGTGTTTTAAGGCATTGAATAATTGCCAATATAGCCCAGAAAAACCTACAACAACCCAATTGCCAATATGTAAGCCGCCTTTAGTCCCCTTCGGGGTATAAATAGGGTAAATAAATAAATAAATTTGGGTTTAAAGATGGGCAGAACTAGCAAAACTATTTCTACTATTTCTTTTGTTCCCCATAGTCCTATAACTGTAATACTACAGTTATAGGACTATGATTCCATTGGTTCCATCCTGGGAATGCTGTTTGGAATACTCGGATATCTCTTTTAATTACTCAGCAAACTACAATCCCTGGGGTTTCACAGGATTCAGCCGTCGCAGTTACACTAGAGTCATAGTGCTATAATTGTAGAGTATGAAAGGGCCCTAGTATGAGTGAAGATGACATTCAGCTCATACTCTCTACAGTGGAAGATAATGAAGTTGGGGGAAAAGGAAGAAAAAAGGAAGAGGGGCTGACCAAGGGCAAGATAGATGGATATTATCCTTGAAGTGACTGACTTGACCTTGAAGGAGCTGGGGCAGCAACTGCTGACAGGGAGCTCTGGTGTGGGCTGGTCCATGAGGTCACGAAGAGTCGGAAACGACTGAATGAATAAACAACAAACAGTGAAAACAGAAAACCATGGTAATGTGATGTATCAAGAAAGAAAACTATGATAGAAGTGTCCTCTCTCATTTAGCTTTGTTTGCCCTATTTATTGGAAGCTTGGACATAGCATCTATTCAGAAAATGAAAAACATGACAACTGGAATTGAATCCAGACATAGCCAGATTGAGAACAAATCCATGAATGACATTCAGTATGTCACAAGACCCATATTTCCTCTTCCGGTGACCTACCTCCCCATATATCCAGTGACCCTCTTCTAATCTTCTTAGTATACATAGATGACAGCTAAGTCATACAATGAAGACAGCTAAGTTTATTTGATCTGATCAGTTTATTACAGCAACAAGATTATGTGATATATCCTTGTATAATGTGTTCAAATGTCATCATTTTAATTAGTTTTCACTGATTACAGCTTTATGATAGTTTCATTTCTTTTTAGATGTTGTATACTGTTAATTTTAATTATGTTTCTTCTAGCTCATATAAGTCACTTTGATTGCCTTTGCACTGTACAAATAAGACAGTTTAACACCACTTTAATGGCCATGGCTCAATGCTTTGGAATCCTTCTTTGGCTGCGAAGGCCCAAGCGTGCAACTCCCATATTTATTTTTATTGAGCGTATCAGAAGCAAATTGAGGATACAGTTATAATATATTTAAAACACAAACAAAGTTAAAAACTTGGCATTATACTAGATTTCCATTGACCAGAAGTTGGCCACATGGAGTGCCTCTGGTGTCACTGTGGGAAGCCCCTCCATTGTGCATTTGGCAGGGCTCAGGTTGCATTGTAGTAAGTGGTCTGTGGTTTGTTCTTCCCCACACTCGCATGCCATGAACTCCACTTTGTAGCCCCATTTCCTAAGATTGGCTGTGCATCTTGTTGTGCCAGAGCGCAGTCTGTTCAGTGCCTCCCAAATCGCCCAAAAGGGAGTTTCTTATCTGGTATCAGCCATGGATTGAGGTTCCAGGTTTTAGCCTACCACTTTTGGACTCTCACTTGCTCAGGTTTCCTGGGAGTATCTCTGTGGATCTTAGAAAGCTGTTTCTTGTTTTTAGGCATTGGCATTCTGGCTGATATCTGAACAGAGGAAGGGCCAGAGATGTCAATGTCTTGATCCTTTCATTACAGGCTTCTACTTCTCAACAGATGTCGGGTGGTGCAATACTGACTAAACAGTATAATTTCTCCAGCAGTGTAGGGCATAGACATCGTATGATAATGCAGTATGTCTCATTAAGGGCCACATCCACTGTTCTAATGTGGTGAGATATATTCCACGCTGGGCATGCATATTCTGCAGCAGAGTAGCAAAGCGCAAGGCAGATGTCTTCACTGTATCTGGTTGTGATCCCCAGGTTGTGCCAGTCAGCTTTCGTATCTAGCACTCACTTTTTGCTTGATAGCAAAAAGTGGGTGCTAGATTACATGTAAGTCAGAGCATGGTCCAGAGTGATTCCCAGGTATTTTGGTGTGCCACACTGCTCCAATGGGATTCCTTCCCAGGTAATCCTCAGAACTCAAGATGCTTGTCTGTTCTTAAGATGAAAAGCACATGTCTGCATTTTAGATGGGTTAGGAATCATATGGTTTTCCCTGTAATAGGCAGTAAGAGCGCCTAAAACTTCGGAGAGCTTCTGTTCAACCATTTTAAGTTTCCTGCTTGAGCAGTGATGGCATGATCATCAGCATAGACAACACTCTCTGTCCCTTCTGGCAGTGGCTGGTCAACTCCCATGATTCCATAGCACCAATTAAGTCCCAAACTGGGGAAAGGGTGTGAAATAAATGGAGACATATTTCTAAATTTGATTAAACAGTTTTTAACCCACTTAATTAAAAAATCTGAAGGATTTTTTTAGTATGGAAAAATGTAAATATTATGATAGGGAAAAATGGAACCAGTTGCCTAAAAAGATGTTGGAGTTTTGTTTTCCGCAGTATTGAGTTACCAGGAATATATTTTAATTAAATGGGTGGTAAGAGTGAATTCAGAAATTAAAATGTTTCATTCAAAGTCAGAAGGCTATCACGCAGTATCAGGAAACTATTTTTTCACCTTATATATCAAGTGTTAACAAACTGTGCTCAATCCAGTAGTTGAGTTAAGAGGGGGGAAACAGTTTTGAAAACAGAGTAAATAAAGGAATATTGATCATGTGAAGTATGAAGGAAAGATAAATTGATATTACCTAAACAATCTACCGAACTAAATAAGAATATCTGGGATAAAATTTTGAGCTTAAATCTAGGGGAAAGGTGTGTGGCTAGCACTAAAAACACCAGCAGAATAGAAAATTGCTAAAACATTCACCAGATGGTATATAATTCCATAGAATGGTTAAAATATCTGTTAAGTACATTTTCATCAAGTTGGCAGTTCAAACATCTGAAAGAACGACTCTCTAAATATTTTAAACTGATTTACTGGGTAAAGAAAAGAAAGAAAAAATGTATAAATATATTTTATTTGCAGTATACTTTTCAATCTGTGCATGAACCCAAAATTATCTTGTTCTTTTTCTGTTTACAGACCTTTCTTGCTGCTATTAACCAAGTATTTCCTGCAGAGGAAGATAGTAAGAAGGATGTGGAAGATAATTGTAAGTGAAGATGTAAAGTATAACTTGGAAAAAATCTGATAATTATGTTGTTTAGAACGTGTCATACTTGCAAGTAGACACTTTGAAAGCTGTAACTGCTTATCACACACTATGTGTTTTTTTAATCTGCACTCTGGCTTTCCTTATCATCCAAACTTTGCTTGAAGGGAAGGTTAGTTCTCGAGTCCAAGACCTTCTATTTTCTTCATTTCTTTACATGTAGGGCATGTCAGTACAGCTTGGAAGATTTTTTTTTTTTTGGGGAGTACAGCCTCCAGAATCACCCAACCGATGTGTTGAATGTAATGGAGATACTGAATAATGGAATCTTTGGCCCAATTTGTTAGATATTTGACAACGTATGGGAAAAAGAATGAAAGCTGTATTATTTTAAAACATCTTTTGTGATTCATGGAACAGATGGGTGAAATGTATTTTGCTGGAACCACTTTGGGGAAAAAAGACTGAGAGAGTTATAACTTGACCCCTTTGGCCAGGGATTGAGATTCAAGGTCCTTCCATACAGCCCCATATCCCAGAATATGAAGGCAGGAAATTCCACATTATCTGAGAGTGGACTCAGATAACCCAGTTCAAAGCAGATATTGTGGTATTTACTGCCTTGATATTCTGGGATATAGGGTTGCATGCAAGGGCCCTCAGTGGAAGGTCAAGTGGTTGTTCCCAGTGTTGCTGCTTTCTCCAAGGTGTCCCAACTCTCCAAGCAATGCTATTGTCAGTACCATGGCAACTCATAAATAAATAAATACCTGTTATTGTGGGATATATTTCAAAATAGAACTACTATACACATCATATTGTCCCTCAAAGGGCCACTGTATGTTTTTCGTTTACTGTCCCTTCATGTTTATTGCTACTAAATGATTATGTTATCAGAATAGGTGAGCCCAATGATTCTTTATATAGATTTCTAAATTTATTGTTATCCTGGTAATACTGCAGTGGCTGTCCTACTTTCAGTATTTCCAGTGTTCTTTCAAAGACTGGAAAATTTATTTTTTTGAAAAATACTCAGTTCCAGTTCCAATTCTTGAGCCAGATTCAAATGTAGTTAGTGGCACTTTCAGTTGTAATGTTTTAAAAGCAACTCCTTATTTTCCCATCTGTTAAAGAAATTAACCATATTATTTTTGTTCTAGAAATATAAGTACTCTAAGCTGCTAACCCGTGGTGCTAAGCAAAATCTCTTCCATTTCAGTGAAACTTGATTATTAAACTGTATTGGTTCTTTTTAGGGTTTATATAAACTAGTTCTCTGCTTTTATTATAGGTTCATTAATGTACTTAAATGAAGCCACCTTGTTACATAACATTAAAGTTCGATACAGCAAAGACAGAATTTATGTAAGTATTATCCTATTCTTAAAAGTGGGTTGGGCTACAAAACCATTTAGATAAAGAGTTATTTTGAATTTTTGTTACTATCTATGTGGAAATAATATTGTATTGTTTCATGAGTTACTAGCTATATCCTTAGGAAGCTGAAGAGTTTTAGTATCATGAAGACTTGTGCATATGTGGATAAATACATAAATAATGCTTTTACTACATCTTAACAATAAGGTGTAGTAAAAGAAAAGATGCATTTTCTTCTTTCTCTTTGGAGGAGGAAAATACCAGCTTGCTTTGACACCTTCAAGATCAAATGACTGCTTTAATCTTTTATGTAGCTATCAGATTGCCTGATTGTATGTAATGGATTCTGACTAAATTATATCAAGTCTTTGCCATCTGCTCTGGCAAGTGACAGCTGTGAAATAGAAGGAAGAAACTTTCACCAGGCATGCCAGAAACAGATAAGCAACAGAAACAGATGTTAGAAACTGGTCCTCTCCAAATCCTGATCTTTCACTGCTAATTTATATGCTTGTCTGCATTGGACCATTGGAATATGTCCTTTTTAAAAAGTTCATTAACCCATTTGCTTCTTACTAATACACAAAAAGAAGTTTTGAGTTGATAATGGTTTGGTTATGGTTCATTTATTCAACGTACCAATATGGCATCCTAAAGTCAACAACATAGAGGTACTTCTGCTCAGTCAAAAGACACATCTGGGAATAGGGAGTCAGCTTGTGTCACACTCCCCTTGAGAACACTTTGCATTTTCAGATCAAAAGTGTTCATTTTGAGCTGTAAAGTATGATTTGGCTCCAACTTATTTGAAAAACCGTTTATGAAAGACTGTGTATAAATTTATTAGAGCTCTAACTTCTCCTGGAGGAGGCTTTCTCCCCATCACACCACTTTCTCAGGTTTGTTTGATGGGAACAAGGGAGAGCCTTCCTGGTGGCTGTGCCCAAACCTTGGAGTTCCTTCCCTAAGAAGTTCAGTTTTTAAAGTTCTTAAAGAGTTTGCCTGTGGTCTTTTAATACAATGTGCATGTGCTGGTTATTTACAATGAAATTTAAAGTAAAGCAATAAAACAGCCGAATTAAAAATATATATATTTGATTAAGATAGCAAGGCAGACTGTAAATGTCTGATTTTGAATTCAAGGAGACTTGAACTTTTACTCCTAAATTCAGAAGGACTGACCTGGCAATATGCCGGTGAACCTTCTCTGTTGGTTTCTTGTAGGTTTCTAGACATTTTTGATAGAAGTTTCAAATTTTAATTAGCTTGTAATGACTTTTCCTTGCAGACATATGTAGCCAACATCCTAATAGCAGTGAACCCTTACTTCGATATACCGAAACTCTATTCCTCTGATTCTATTAAGAAGTACCATGGTAAATCACTTGGGACACTGCCACCACATGTCTATGCAATTGGTAAGTCTTACACCATTTTACCTCTTTGTAAATACTGAGATTTTTTTTTCATATCAGGAGTGACTTGAGAAACTGCAAGTCGCTTCGGGTGTAAGAAAATTGACTGTCTGCAAGGATGTTGCCCAGGTAATTCCCGGATGTTTGGTGTTTTACCATCCTTGTGGGAGGCTTCTCTCATGTTCCCGCATGTGGAGCTGGAGCTGACAGAAGGAGCTCAAACCACTCTTCCTGGATTCGAACTGCAGACCTTAGGACAGCAATCCTGCCAGCACAAGGGTCACCGTGTGCTCTGAGCACTGAGATGTTTGACATTTATTTGTTTCTCGATGTGGGAAGTTTTGATTTTACATAGGGCACTGCTTTTGAGGCAGAGTGTTGGGAAAAGATAATTACTTTCTTCTTTCTTTTTAAAAAAACAAAAATAAAATGTATGCTAGTAGATGTCCTAAAGAAACATCAAAAATGGTATTTATAAGGATTGAAACTAAAACTCATTTGCAACTTTAATTAAGAACTGGACATAGGAGGTTGGCCTATTTTGGCAGATTACAAGAATCAGCCTGTGCATGGACACTTACTGACCTTTTGCAGTCAGGAGCACTTTTCATTGACCCAAATATTGAAATATTTATGTGTTTCATACCTTGTTTTACAATGTTTAGCTTCCCTTGATTCACGTTCCTCACATTCTGTGTTCCTATAATATGTGTTGTGCAGCTTTGGAGAGTCCTGTCACCTCTGAGAATGTCAATATCTGAACATCCTATCGTCTTGATTCCATTTGTGTCATGAACCACGGTGCTATTCTTAGTCTTGCCCTGCTCTTCCCCATAACTCACTGAACGCCCTCCAACCTGGTTGTCTCATCTTCTGGCACAATTTCTTGGTTCATTTCATACTATTGCGTTATAGGTTTTTCAAGCTAAAAGCCTTTAGGGATGGTTTATCATTGCCTTCTTCTCCAATATTAACAAGTATTAGCTGTGATGCCACTCTCATTGTCTCTGAAAGATACTATGCCAGTCCCATCTCTCCCCAACTTTAATGCTTTTGATTTCTGTTTTTAACTATATTCTGCATTTTGTTAGCTAACTTGTAGACAGTATTGTAGAAAGTTAGAATGAAAAAAATGTCTAAATAACCACAACAGGGATAAAGTGTTAGCAAGGCCTCTACTTCATGTGGCAGAGAATGAGCGACCACAGTGACCACCATCTACCTCTTCTTTGTAAACCATCTCTCCTTTGTTGAAAGGCAAATTTTGCGCTTTGTGACCTCTCCTGCATCTTTAACACATCTTTCTTCTCTCACGTGTATTGGAAGTGCACATTTAATGCTCAGGCAGTAAATATAAGCAGCTAAATTTTGATTTCATTACTTCAAATGGTGCTTTCACAACAACATTATGTAGGGTTCAAATGGCTAATGAAAACATTGATCTCTGTGCTGCTACCTATCCATTTTAATGCCCTCTTCAATGTTTACTTCAGCCGATAAAACATTCCGGGACATGAAAGTACTCAAGATGAGTCAGTCAATCATCGTGTCTGGAGAATCGGGAGCTGGCAAGACGGAAAACACTAAATTTGTTTTACGGTTTGTATCTTTGGTTGAAATTGTTTCCTCTGAATAAAAGTTTACTCTAGACATTTTAATCTCTCTATAGAAACATTAAACTTCCTCATGTGTACCACCCAGAACTATAAAAATATCAATGAGGCTTTGACTGCAGGTTACTCAAGCTGCAATTCTAAAGAGATTTTGGCACGTAGCTACACATGCCCAGAGACTTCTTGGTGCTTCTTGTTGGAGGACATTTTCTGAAGATTCTTGATCATTGTCTCATTGTGCAAGTTCCCATCTTCTGATGAAGAGACCATACTATACACACATGGGTTTCGTCTCATTGTAGTCTCAAAACAACTGTGAGATGTGGGTTAGATTGGGAAATAATGAATGGTCTGTGTTTCCCTGTAAATTTTATAAAAGCTTAGTTACTTGGTCCCAAGGTCTTCTTAGCTGAACCCTGCTCTGGTTTACCAGTATGTTATTGAGTTGAGGAACATATGTGGATTTTCTTAAGCACATAATAATTTAGGTGTCCCAGGAGAAACCATTGCAAAGAACAACTAAATATTATGTTTTCTATCTCTTGAAGGTATCTGACTGAATCCTATGGCAGTGGACAAGATATTGATGAAAGAATTGTAGAAGGTACTGTCTACCTAGTTTTTTGTTTCATATGAATAAGTAAGTGAGTAAGTAGAGGAATACCATGAGCACCATCCTTTAGTTTATGAGCATTTTCAGTGGCAACATCCTGGAAAATGTGATTTTTATGCCCACTTATTTACCAAGATACTCAAGATCCCATCCAGGCCTTATCAAATCTATGTAAATAAAGGATAACTTTTATTCATGCTCTTTCAATCTTTAACTTTATGGTATCTGTATGAGCAGAATATGTTCTTCATTGCTGTCTTTAAAAATCTTTTTTTTTTTGCTAGACACTATAGCTAAGAGAAGGGGAACTTGTATCATTAGTGTTGTTCCGTAGACTATTTAGTGCAAGAGGCAGTATAATATTTTCCACAGCAAATCACTGAAGTAAATGAGAGTTGTGTTGTAAAATGAGTACAGTGAGCCAGGTTGTAACTAGAGGGTTAAAGAAAAGATCTGGCATCAACTTATGGAAAGAATTGTTCAGAGACTCATGGAAATATTTCTCTAAAAAAATGAGGTTACATTCCCCTTTCCTCCTTCCTTTTGCTAGGCTCTTTCCTTATAGACTTTACAAACTCAGGAGTGTGCTGCTGCCTTCATCACAACTTCTGTAGATATCAGCATGGAGCTCTCAAAGAACCAGTTTGGCATAATTATTTGAGCATTGGACTCTGACTCTGGAGAACAAGATTCAAATCCCCACTTGGCCATAAAAACACACCAGGTGACATTGGACAAGTCATACACTTTTTGCTTCAGAAAACCCTGTGATAGGTTCTCCTTAGGGTTGCCATACATCAGAAATGATTTGAAGACACACAACAACCAGATAGATCTCAGTAGGGTTAGGCTTCACAAAGAGCACCTGCTAGAATGCAGGAACTTAAAGGACAGGCCTCCTGCTGCAAGGAAGCTGAGAAGTCTGTAGTCGACAGTGAGGTCCCATTTCACGAAAGTGCTGTTCAGTGCATATGAACAGGGTTTACATCAAGGACAGTGCTTCCACATGTGCTCTTGTAAAGTAACCTATTGCCTTTCTGGCCAGTGAAAACCTCAACTGAGCAGTTCTATTGCTGCTTTATGTGCTTGATAACTAGTATCAAATTCAGAGCAGTGCTTCCTTCTTTAAGAGATAATGGAATAATTGAGAATGATGTTGCTTAATTACAGCCGAACATACAAATATTCCATATCCGTGTCAACTCAGAAAGTGACTGCCAGTTGGACACAGTGTCTGAGGCTTCATTCCTTAACACTGGTACCTGTAGATATTTGTTGTTGTTGTTGTTAGTGGGTGAAGCTTTAAAAGAAACATCTTAACCTGGGGCAGCTGCTACTACACACTTGCACTGGTTTTTGTTTCCACTCTGCAGTTGTTGAGCACATCTTAACATGCATGTACCCAGTGTGGTTGCATTGCTACAGCAAAAAAGACTTACACACAAAGCCCTATTGTAGCCGTGTAACACTCCTCCCAAATGATTTTCATGTGAACATTGTGTCTTTGTTGTGAGTCTGGTATACATTTTCTTGACGAACTGGATAAATTAAATAGGTCATGCATCAGCTCAAATTGTTCTGACTGTTACAAACTAGCAATGACAAGAATAAAAAAAATCAAGGAAGCACAAAAGTTGTTGAGAGTTTAATCAGTTGCCATTTTTGGTCTTCTCAGGCCCCTTCCATACAGCTGAATAAAATGTACATTATCTGCTTTGAACTAGAATATATGGCAGTGTGGACTCAGATAACCCAGTTCAAAGCAGATATTGTGGGATTTTCTGTCTTGATATTCTAGGATATAGGGCTGTGTGGAAGGGCCCAAAGATACTCTGTTTTCAAAATCACTTTATTTGAAATTTCTTTCTAATCCAACTTTGTTTTTTTTTAAAAAAGGTCTTTAAGATATACTTATAACTAAATGGTTCTAAATGTCTTGCTTTGAAGGAAAAGTCCAGTTTTAAAAGGTCCTTAAAATATACTTAGAACTAAATGTTTTTAAATGTCTTGCTTCGAGAAAAAGTCCAGTTTTAAATGTGGAATTAGCAAAGAACATGATAAGACAGTTTTGTTAATGGTAAGAGGCTGAGTAAATAGAGCCACAATTGACAACAAAACCTAAACCTCCACTCAACCACCATGTTAAATGCCAAAGGCTGGAACATCCTGATTTCCAAAAGCCTCTAATTTGACTGCTTTTGGAAACAGAATGCTGGCCTGGCTAGTTTATAGTCTGACCCAGCAAGCCAAATGCTGTGAACATTATGCAGTCCCGATAGCTTTGCTAATGATGCCATTGTCTGCTTACCCTGATTATGTGCTCTCTGTTTGCACTGAGTGGAAGTGTCTTTGCTCATTGGGATGCTACAACAGGTGAATGTGACTACATGCTCAAGCTTATTAATGTTGTTTTTGATGGTCCATATGGGATGCTATTATTGAAGAGTGTGGTGGTTGCTAGCCAGTGATGTGGCAGATCAGCTGTGTCCACATCTTCTGGGCACCACTCCAGGCATCTGCTTGTTACAAGGCTGGCAGCCATGTCTGTATTCCTAGCTGCACCATTAGTTCAGGGCTGTTGTCTTCCTTTTTGCTCCACCGGTTGCTTTGATCCGGGGGGTCGCCAGAGCAGTTAGGAAGCTTGGTGCATTCTGCTCACAAGGAGACAATGTATGTGCTTGGATAAGCATGAGGTGGGCATATTAAACAGGTTGCTGCACTTGGAAGTTATTATTCCTGCCTGAAAACAGCTTTTTTGGGCACACCTGACATTACTAACTCACATATTGGCTGTATTCTGTGGGTCAGAAAAGACATCTAGCTGCTTTTTTCCTTGAGTTTTTGCTTCAATTATGTATTCAGAAGCAGGTCTTGGGAGAGGGATTTGTTGTTTAACTGTATTTACATATAAAGGAGTGAGAGTTGAAGTAACCTCTAAGAATTCCCTAATTTATTAATTCAAGAAATGTCAATAGTTGTGTTAATGAAATGCAGATATCCCCAGCCAGATATTCTCTAGGTATACTGGACCGCATTGTCCATTATCACCAACCTTGGAAATTGTGGGAGTTATACTTCAGTACATCTGGAGAGAGCTGACTTGGGGAAGGCAATGCAATTCATGTGTAAATATTTTATAAGGGAAATATTCATTACAACAGCTGTTAGTTGTTATTATGATATATATAAGTAGACATTTTAACTTTGTGGAAGAATTGTTAGTAAAACTATGGCCAGAAGCCAAACAACTAAATTGATTGTGCTTGCCAAATGGAATTCCTTTACTCCTTCCATCAAAATATCAGTCCTTAATTGTATAACTCTTATTACTTTCTCAATTCCCAGTTGAATTTTCTTTCATTTTGAGAAGAGATACATGGTTTGACATGGACATTTGATGTACTTGAATCCCAAGCTAAATGGCTATGTGATAATAATATTTTTCCAGATGATGTGGGAAAATTACAGGTTGAATCCAGGGTTTGCTCCTGCCAGGGGAGCATGATCCGAACAAACTTCTTCTCATTGAATGCCGGGTGAGAAAAAGTAGCAGAGATGGCCTTAGACAATGTTCTCCTCTTGCAACTCACCCAATGCCACACTCTTTCGCACAATTCCCCCATCCTTTGTAACAAGATGACACTGCTCTAGTGTTATCCCACAGAGGTTTTGGGGGATTGCAAGAGAAGGGAGAATAGGTTAAAGTCATTGTCCCTCATTTTCACATTCAACTGGAGTATTTCAAAAATACTCCGGTGGATTAGCAGCTATTCTTGGACAGTAGGGACTCCTCCATTTTTGGGGAGGAAAATTCTGGATTCAACCATTTTCTCTTTTTTCTCTGTGCTTCCCAGTACTAAACAATGTGAGTTGTTTTCTTCTGTTCCCCCCCCCCCCCAGTTTTTTTTTATTAAGCTTGCTTTGCTTTCCTTTCTCCTTAACAGCCAACCCACTTCTAGAAGCATTTGGCAATGCGAAGACTGTTCGTAACAACAATAGTAGCCGCTTTGGAAAATTTGTAGAAATCCATTTCAATGAAAAGGTATCCGTACTTACTTGTTTATGTCTTTCTGGAATTCAACTTGAGAAATCTTTGCCTTTCAGCTTGGGCATTTCTACTTTCTCTCTCCTCTTCCTTGGCATTGGGTTGCAACTTATCATTAACCATGTCAAGAGGTGCTGCTGGGAATTGTAGGCCAAAACATTTGGTGGGCCCCAGATTCTCCAACCCTGTGTCAGATAGTATTCCAGGCTCAAATGCAAATTGAATGTGACTGTTTGCTACCATTTTAAATGCAAGGTCCTTCTGGTGTGAGAGAATTGGCCATCTGCAAGGATGTTGCTCAGGGGACATCCGGATGTTTTGGTGTTTTATCATCTTTGTGGGAGCCTTCTCTCATGCCCCAACAATGGGGAGCTGGAGCTGATAGAAGGAGCTCAACTTGCAACTTGCAGTTTCTCAAGTTGCTCCTGACACACACACACACACACACACACACACACACACACAAAACAACCATTCTTAAATTTTGTAAGTAATGATTTGCATGATTTCTACTCCCATTAAAACAGCAACAAGGATTCAGCACTTGGATAGTTCCTTTAAAGCTCAGACTGGAGCCCAGTGTGGATTCACTATCAATTGAAATGGTGTTTTACCAACCACATGGCACACAGTCCTGTTCCCATATATTCAAAAACGCTGTGTTCAACAGAACTTGCTTCCTGTTAAACCTGCCTCCTATTGTAGCTCCAGAAGTTAATCTGTGGGATAGCACTAGAGCAGTGTCAACATTTTTGGCCAAGTTGGATTTTTTGGCTGCTTCTCAAAAACTGCTCCACAACAATGTTTAGCTGAATCACACTCTCTTTTTTTCTAGTTTTGTTTATATCTATGAGGCCACATAAAAAAAACAGACACACAATTATATCCATACATGTGGTTCTCCCTTTGATAAAATGCCTTGTTTTTCTTTCTTATAGAATTCAGTTGTTGGTGGATTTGTATCACATTATCTGCTAGAGAAATCCAGGATCTGTGTCCAAGGCAAAGAAGAACGAAATTATCATATTTTCTATCGGCTGTGTGCTGGAGCCCCTGAAGATATAAGAGAAAAACTGTATTTAAGTTCACCAGATAATTTTAGGGTGAGTTTATTTGATATATTTTGGATATCAGTATTTCCCCAAAGTGGGACTCAATGTGGATCTCGTTTCCCATTATTTTTTGAAAATCCTTTAAAAAGTTTGGATCCTGTCATGTGTAAAGTAGGTCAACTGAAATAATTACATCTAGGTGTACTTTTGGGCACAAACTATAAAGTTATAAAACTGGGAAGTCATGCTACTCCTCTATTGTGCCTTGGTCAGACCACACCTGGAATACCGTGTCCAATTCAGGACACCGCAATTTAAGGGAGATGTTGACAAGCTGGAATGTGTCCAGAGGAGGGTGACTAATATGATCAAGGGTCTGGAGAACAAGCCCTACGAGGAGTGGCTTAAAGAGCTGGGCATGTTTAGCCTGCAGAAGGCTGAGAGGAGACATGATGATCATGTATAAATATGTGCGGAGAAGTCATAGTGAGGAGGGAGCAGGCTTGTTTTCTGCTGCTTGAAGACTAGGACGCGGACGAATGGCTTCAAATTACAGGAAAGGAATTTCCACCTGAACATTAGGAAGAACTTCCTAACAGTGAGAGCTGTTCAGCAGTGCAACTCTCTGCACCGGAGTGTGATGGAGGCTTTTAAACAGAGGCTGGGTGGCCATCTGTTGGGGCTGCTTTGAATGTGATTTTCCTGCTTCTTGGCGGGGACTGGATGGCCCAAGAAGTCTCTTCCAACTCTATGATTCTATATACTAATTTTGATTTTGAACAAACTGTTTGAATCTTCATATGCCAGCTTCGTCTTATAATCGAGCTTAATCAATCAGAATACTTAACAGAAATCAGGAATTCATTTATTTTGTATCTCACAGTTTTGCGGTCTGCCACAAAGTAATGAAATAAGAATAAAACTAAAATACATGAAAACCCAACCAATATTTTTTTAGGTTTTTCAGAGTTTGGGAAAATAGTATTTTTTTTGAAAGCAGAATAATACTACAAATTCTACTTCTGAGTATTAATGTATAGTATTGCTCTAAATGTGGCTATTGACAGCAGAGGGTGAAAGCTGAGCATGTGAGCATGAGAAAGACTAGAGAGATTTTGTCACAATAAACAATAGCTTATTGTGGTTTCCAAATGCAGCCACTGAGATTTATGCGTACTTCAGAATCTTTTAAGTATCTTTACTTTGCATGTCATTCAGCTGTTGAATCGCTTTAGTGTTAACTGTATGCATTAAATTGTGATGGAAAAAAATTCTATGACACATCTTGAAATTATTTCTTGTCCTTCTCCAATTCATTTCTCTCACACAGAACTGTTTTCTGCATCTAAGTTTTAAAATCATTTGGCTATAGTTTTTGATTCTCAAGTAGGCTTTTCTAGATTCACATGTGTAAGAAACATTTTGTTCAATCCGTATTATTTAGGGAAACAATTGTTTTGATTTTGTAATATGTGTGCAGTGGGTGTGCAGTGGATATGGAAGGCTGACTATAGAAATACAATGTTGGCCTTTAAAATAGTCAAATAAATAAAGAAATATACAAGCAACATTTTCAAACTGAATATTTAATAGAGTACAAATTAAATCACAAGCCAGACTTCAGGGCAAATATTACTGTGTTTTATTTCTACTGCAAGGTAATTAAGAAGGGAACTAACATTTTGTATTATCTTCTATAGTTCTTGCACTTCATCTCTCATTGTCTACTTCTGTTCCAACAGTATTTAAATCGTGGATGCACCCAATATTTTGCTACCAAAGAAACCGATAAGCAAATTTTGCAGAATCGCAAAAGTCCAGAGGTATGAAATCTCTGCCATTTTTTTTTGCTTTTATTGAAAAATACTGTGCTGTGCAGTATATCCAGTCTGGATCTAAAATTAGTTTCACTCAATACTTTGACTTGTCTTTATATGTGAATTGTCTTGGAAAGTGCTGTTTAGAAAGAGTAGCAGAATCTCACTACTACTATTTTACCAAATAAATGATCAACACTGACAAAAATTGGTATCATCCACCTGATCGTCAGGTATGAATGACCACAGATCCTCATATGTGACAGGGACATGCATTCTGGTGAGTCTAGGATATTTTGGCCAGGAGTTGTATCTGTACCTTTCCTGAACAAACTGGATCTGACTACTATTTATATGGATGAATTTGGTAAGAATCTACCCCCCCCCCCCTCGGGTGTCTGGAGTGACTTGAGAAATTGCGAGTCGCTTCTGGTATGAGAGAATTAGCCATCTGCAAGGACATTGCCCAAGGGACACCAAAATGTTTTACCATCTTGTTGGAGGCTTCTCTCATGTCTCTGCATGGGAAGCTGGAGCTGACAGATGGGAACTCACCCTGCTCCCTGGATTTGAACCGCTGACTTTTCGGTCAACAGTCCTGCCAGCACAAGGGTTTAACCCATTTCACCACCAGAGATTCTATTCTCTAGAATATATCCATATACTCTAGGGTGCGTATGGATATATTCTAGAGCACTGTTTCTCAACCTGGGGGTCGGGACCCCTGAGGGGGTCGCGAGGGGGTGTCAGAGGGGTCGCCAAAGACCATATGAAAACACAGTATTTTCTGATGGTCATGGGGATTCCATGTGGGAAGTTTGAGCCAATTCTATTGTTGGTGGAGTTCAGAATGTTCTTTGATTGTAATGAACTATAAATCCCAGCAACTACAACTCCCAAATGTCAAGATCTATTTTCCCTGGACTCCACCAGTGTTCACATTTGGGCATATTGAATATGTGTGCCAAGTTTGGTCCAGATCCACCATTGCATGAGTCCACAGTGCTCTCTGGATATAGGTGAACTACAACTCCCAAACTCAAGGTCAATGCCCATCAAACCCTTCCAATGTTTTCCATTGGTCATGGGAGCCAAGTTTGGTTCAAATCCATCACTGAAGGAGTTCGGAATGCTCTTTGATTATAAGTGAACTATAAATCCTAGCAACTACAACTCCCAAATTACAAAATCAATCCTCGCCCAACCCCACTAGCATTCACATTTGGGTGTATTGGGTATTTGTGCCCAGTTTGGTCCAGTGAATGAAAATGCATCCTGCATATCAGATATTTACATTATGATTTATAACAGTAGTAAATTGACTGTTATGAAGTAGCAATGAAAACAATGTTGTTGTTGGGGGTCACCACAACATGGGGGACTGTATTAGGGGGTCACGCCATTAGGAAGGTTGAGAACCACTGTTATAGAGAAAAGCAGACCTGCAATTGTAATTGACTTTAGATTCTTATCTGGTCCCTTTCATGGTATACAAGTATACATAGCACTTTGATTGTCATGGATGCAGTCTATACTATCTTGTCATGTGTAGTTTGATAAGCTACTAGAGCTCTGTGACTACAAATATCAAGATCCCTTAGGTAGTTAAAAATTCCTCCTCAAACTGCAAAATCCCACAATTCCATAGGATGGAGATATGAAAGTTAAATACTCCTCTCTAAGATACTGTTTAAAGTATGGTGTGATTGCAGTATTCTTTAACTGGATACTTACCTACACTAATCCTATCTTGAAAACCATATTCATCACTATAGAGATGTAAGAGCTTTTTTGCTTCCTTCTGAACATTCAAGTGGGTAAAAAGTGCATAATGCCATGAATCACTTTGTTTGAGCCAGAATGGATATGGCTGGAAACTCTCCATGAACCCCAGATACATTCATATGATAATGTTAAACCTGTGAATGCAGTGGCTTCTAATTTAATTACGAAGGAAAGGCATGTGAAACTCATGAACTGTGCCCAGGTAGACTTTTTGTATCAGTCACCCCCTTCTGCAGAAACACTGGTTTAGATGTTATAGTAATAAACTGGAAAAGTATATAAATGTATTTTTACAATTGTATGATGAGAGAATGCTTTGCATGATCATTATTTTCCTTTCACGCCACTTTCTGGAGTCTCTTGTCCCACCCGAAGCCTCGTCATAGGGAAGGAGGGGGCTCTACCAAACTTTGTGTGTGTGTGTGTGTGTGTGTGTGTGTTGGATTCACCCAATGCAGTGAAAGAGAGTGGGTGTTACCTAAATTTAGCTATATCAAATGGCTTTCTGCATTTCCAGTGTCAGATACAATCCATCGTGGTGTCTTTATGGCCTGATGTTTTTAAAACTCTACCTGGGCAGGAGGTCTTACAAAAAAAAAAAACAGCAAAAAAGTTGCTAAGCTTAGTATGCAACTTGGAACTGATTTGCAAGAATATTACTTCCCTTTTCTAAGCTGATATTATGCTTTCTGCCATCAACCCAGTCCACTACAGAGATAATTTTCTTTGTTTTTCTAATGTTGATCCTCATTGAACATATTTCATAATAGGAAATGGAGTAACCTATTAATGCTTACATTATTTTTGTCCTTTCCCCCTCAGGAAGATGAGGTGATCACTTTGGATAATTTGATTTTTTTTTTTACTTTTATCAAATTGCTATGTGATGTGAATTTTTCAGATGCATGTTAGCACCTCTGTTTTTAGATTTCTTAGAATAGTGTTGGTCCCTCGTCTGGGATTAAACTAGATCAACTGTGTGTCCAATTCTATCTAATTTCCAATCTTAAACAGCTTTTTTTCATAATTAAAATTATATTATGCATGTTTTTTTCTCCTTGCATGTAGAGTACCCAATTTGCTGTTTGATTCATTTCTTTTCGATCTCTGGGTTGTTAGTGGTGTGTGGTGCTAAAGCTCAAACAGCTGAACATCCAAAACTAGACTTGTATGAAATACTCTCTAGTGAAATGCATTCATTATCCAAGTAAAGTGAGCATCAGGTTATATACTTCTGTACTAGTAGTACTGTTTATTTTGGGTAAAATTTTACAATTCCACCCTTCACTTGTGATCTGCAAACAATTCGGAAATAATTCTAACCTGTTTTTGCTATGGCACACAAAAACAAAATGATAACACAAAATGAAAATCAAATACTCAGAAGCATGCATTTTTTGTTTTCATTGTTTTAACAATTTAATGGTGTCAAAATGAGGAAGAACTTTAGATCACAGAAGAAGCATATACTCTGTATGAAGATGGTCTTGGAGTCAATCCGTGGCCTCTCCTGATAAACTGAAAATAATTTCTTTCAAAAGGAGCCTTTTCCAGTCCATGTAGGGAATAACATAAAATAATATAGACCCAGGTGTAATACTGACTTCTGTGTTATATCCACTACTTGTTCCTTCATTGATTACTGTTTAAGTGGCAGCTGTTTGGGTGCTTTCTGTTGGTTTAATTTGTAGATGTTAATTTTGACCTGGCTCTAGGATTACAAGTAATATTTGATCATGTTGCAATGCTATGTAGCCAAGTCAGAAAAAATGAGCTATTTCCAAGTGAACACTATTTCCCCTGTTTGTGGCCTCCTTCAACCTTTCCTGAAAGGGAGCAGACTTCTCACATAATCCCTTCTCATTTGGACTTTGCTTTGACAACTTGCTCCAGTTGTTTCTGTCCTAAATTCTAAATTGATGTTCTTCTCTGCATGTGTTTCTCCACACTCATCTAATTTTGTCCATCTCCATCCTGTTTTCTTGCTTCCTTTGTTTTGCTATAACATGACCCCTCAACATCGTATATGTGCATATGTGTGTCTACAGAGTGTTTCTTTTCTTTCTTCAGAAGTGTTCATTTGTTTACTTTGGATCTGTGTTCACAAATGGAAGGGTTTCCATAGTTTTGAGAAGGCTTATCTGTTTTTTTTTCTTGTAGTGCCTGAAATTTGGCTCTCTGAAGGATCCTCTGCTGGATGACCATGGAGACTTCAACAGAATGTGCACTGCAATGAAGAAGATTGGTTTAGATGATGAAGAGAAACTGGATCTCTTCCGAGTAGTGGCTGGTGTCCTTCACCTTGGAAACATTAACTTTGAAGAAGCTGGCAGCACATCTGGTTAGCTTCGTTACTGCTATTCAACATCTTTATCAGTGACTTGGATGATAAAATAAAAAGCATGCTTATCAGATTTGCAGATGACAACAAATCTGGAAGGATAGCTAATACCACAAACAAGATGAGAATCTAAAAATTATCTTAACAAATTAAAAAACTGGTCTAACAGAAGCTAACAGAATGAATTTCAGCAGGGTACTATGCTTAGGATGAGTCACATCTGGCTTGACAGTAGTATGTGTTAGAGCAGTGGTTCTCAACCTCTGAGTCTCCAGGAATTTTGGCCTACAACTTCCAGAAATCCCAGTCAGTTTACCAGCTGTTAGGATTTCGGGGAGTTGAAGGCCAAAACATCAGGGGACCCACAGGTTGAGAACCACTGTGTTAGAGAGATCTAGGAATCTTAGTAGATCTCATACCAAACATGAGCCAACACCATGCTGTGGCAGTTATTCTGCTTTGGTCAGATCAAGGTCTGGAATATTGTGTCCAGTTTTGAGCACCATATGTCAAGAAGTATATTGACATGAAGGAATGTGTCCAGAGAAGGGCGACCAAAATGGTCAAAGGTTTGGAAGTTGGGTATGTTTAGCTTGGAGATAAAGAAGGTTAAGAGGGGACATGATGCAACCACAGAGACTAGGGGCCCATCTATGCGGTCAACTAAATCTGGGTCTAGTTCAAAGAATGCTCCTTTGGATTGACCTGATTTTTTGAAGGTTTACACCTCTCTGCTCCCAAATTCCAGCAGAGTTAGGAACAGAATCCCGACTGTCCACTGGATGCCTGCAAAATGTGGAGAGAGGAGGCGGTTGGGTGGGTGGGGGGGAGTGATCAATGTCTCCTTTTCAAATGGGTACCTTTGCTGACATTGACAAAGGCATCTGTCAAGGCCCAGAAGATTTCTGGAGCTCCATGGCTGCCACTGCAGCGACAGACTATGCAAAATATAAGTGCAATACACTTTCCTTTATCACAGAGCACAGGGAAAAGAGATGGCACTCATGTGAATAGTGGGACCAGTTCAGAGTTAGCTCCTGCTCAGCTGTCCACACCAACCCTGAAGAGTGGGGTTCTTCCAAAGCTTCAAGTAAAGTCTGGATCATTCCCTTATGTCTGCTAATGCAGACTAAAACCAGTGGAGGCCAGAAGTCTCTGGATGACACCTGAATTCAGGGTTTGTGACCTGTGCAGCTAAGGCCCTAAGACACGGAGCAAAATTCACACTACAGGAGAAGAGATTCCACAACCATTTGATAAAGTTTTTTTTATGAAGGTCAAAGCTATTTGACAGTAGAATATGGAGTCTCATTCTTCCCGAGCGATCATAAGCAGTAGGTGTTAACACAAGCCAAATAAACTGAGAAAAACATCACATGTATTCTCCAATTGATACTTGCAATGTTGAGTGAAAGGCCAGGCATCTGTGAATACTATCTCAATGGGTTACTTTACACATTAATGTTTTAGTCCATACACGTTACAGTACACTATGTACCTCAAGTGAATTTAGTAATGGACATGAAGACAGGTCAACCTGATGAGTTAAAGGGTTTTGTCCTCTTAAAGACACAAGGAACCGATTAGGATGTCATGAGAACATGGCATGAACAATTTTCTATGTGAACAATTGTGAACAATTTTCTATGTATTGTTCCTGTCGTGATTCTCTGTTTTATTCCAGTAATAAAGTGGATCACAGTACAAAAAAGAACTATTAAATTCTCGCAGCAAATGCATGCCTGCATGAACCAGTGCCTTGAAATCATACCTTGGTCAGTTTTGGGAAGCTGGAAGAAAAATAACAAAGGGTTATGTGATTACTGCATTAACAAATGGCCTGACATTCTTAGGCTGCTTTGATAACATTGTTATGCTGACACGTTAGTGGTAAGGTGGGTTAAGGGTTGGGCTAGGGCTGTAGGAGAGTGGATTTTGAATTCCTGCTCAACTATGGACACCCACTGGGCGATCATGGGCATACTTTCTTAGAGAACAGCAGTGACCAACCTCTGAATAATCCTTGCCAAGCAAGCTTTGTAATAGATTCACTAATAAGTTGGAGTCAGCTTGAAGGCCCAGGACAACAACAGTGATGTTGATCCACACTGCCCATGTTTCTTCTGAGAAGCTTGGAACAGGAGACATGTAGATTTCAGGCAGCTAACTGGGAATATAGTCCAGTGTTATCTGTTTTGGTTCTATCTAGTCAGAGCTCCCTGGTGGCACAGCAGGTTAAATAGGTGAGCTGCTGAACTTGCTGGCCAAATTGTCAGTGGTTCAAATCCAGGGAGTGAGCTCCTGCTGTTAGCCCAGCTCCTGCCAACCTAGTAGTTCAAAAACATGCAAATGTGAGTAGATCAATAGATACCGCTTCTGTGGGAAGGTAATGGCGCTCCATGCAGTCATGCTGGCCACATGACCTAGGAGGTGTCTATGGACAATGCTGACTCTTCAGCTTAGAAATAGAGATGAGCACCCCCCCCCCCGAGTCGGACACAACTAGACTTAATATCAAGGGGAAACCTTTACTTGTACTCAGGGTTTCACGTAGAGTTATTTTCTGATACCTGCCATATCCTTGTTTTGAAGTGGAGATGCTAGCAATCCTCTGCACACAGAGCAAACACTCTAAAAGTAGACCGTGAGCCTTCCCATACTTTGCCAAAGCTCTGCAGTGCTGTAATAATTTACCAGTAACTCAATTATGTGCCTCAATTCTGAGCATCAAGCTGGTTTAAAAATAGATATAGTATCAATGGTAACAATGATGATGATGGAGATAACAGCATCATGTAAACTTTGGTAAATATCTGCATCCTTGAGGTTAGCAGGGTAAAATAAATTCTATTAGTAGCTCCTTCAAACTTAAAAGGATTCAAAATTAAATAATGTAAAGAGATTTCTTGTTATCTCACATGCAACAAAATCTGTATTTAGAAATACAGTACAAACCCTGTATCCATGGGGGGATACGTTCCAAGACACCTGATCCCCATAGATACCTGAAACCATGGATAATAGTAAACCCTATATGTTAACTATACTTGGGCTGGAAACACACCAAAGAATAGCACTGGAGGACCTAGAGAGGCCCACAAACACTTCTAGAAGGGAATTTTTTGGAGCATGGGTAAGGGAGACTATAGATACTCACTCCATTGATACTGTATGTTTATCTGGGATTCTGTGTCACTTATTCAAGCTTTTTGAAATAGTTTTACTACAAAGAGTTATGAAAAGATGGTAGTTATCAGCCAGTTACCAGTTGTTTGCTGTAACAAAACTTTTTTTTTTAGTTTGGCTTTTGATGTAATTTTATCTGTTCCTTTTCTTCACATCAGGAGGATGCACTCTGAAGAATAAATCTAGCCAGTCCCTCGAATACTGTGCAGAACTGCTTGGCCTGGACCAGGAAGACCTGCGGGTTAGTTTAACCTCCAGAGTCATGTTGACAACAGCAGGGGGCGCCAAAGGAACAGTGATCAAGTAAGTTGCTCAGAAGAGCGGATTAAAACCGCCAATTCCTCTCTCACATCTCCCAAGTTTGTCATGCTGGGTTTTTTTCTCTCTCCAAGCGGAGGTTGTAAATATTGACTATAAAACTCTGTCTTTGAGCTATTTTGAGATGTCTAACTTGCATCTGTTTGTGAAGAAATGGAAATATAGGATCACTTTGCTTTTTTTTTTTAGTACTTTGTTCTGCAAGATAAATGGCACTTTCCTTAGAGTAATAAAACATCTGCCACTATATCAAATTTATTTTGCTTCCCTTTCATCCTAATCTGCAAGTGAAAATGTATCTATATAATAACAGCAAGGAAGGAAAAATTGCCTGATGGTTTCGTTAATGATTAAGCTGTCAGATGTTAGCAAGAGAAGTGAAAATGCCCTGCAGCATGTCTCAGCACAGTTTGAGCCCATATTCGTAGAACAATAATTGCTTAAAAGCTAAGAGTACGCACGATGTTCGTACAAAGCGTACAATCTCCATGTCTCATTGGAAGATTGTACAGACGGAAGTGGAAAAGTCCCAACAGTCTCTCCGTTGTTTAGCGCTACCGTCTTATCTGTTTGAAGTACAATCCTTCTTCTGGGTGGTGGTGGAAAGAATAACAATTTGCATCAAGATTGAAAGCTGATGAATATATGGCTTAGTTTTTGTTGTGTGCCTTCAAGACATTTCCAACTGTCAGCAACCCTGTCAGTATTTAAACTGCTACACCACACTGGCTCTATGAATGTTTTAAACTAATCTATTTTATTTTTTTTTTGGAATTATATGTGTTTTAAGGCATTGAATAATTGCCTCTATGTAAGCTGCTATGAGTCCCCTTCAGGGTAGAGAAAGGCAGGGTATAAGCAGAGCAAATAAATAAATAATACAGAAAGGTGTCATCACTTGGAAGCTCTTGGAATAAAAGCACGTTCACAGCTTTATTTCCGTCTTACCATAAGGAAAGTCAGGTGCCCTGTCACACATGATGACGGCAGACTACTCCGCCCCCAGGGAGATAGGGACTTTTTTCTCCCAACAACAGTTGGGCCTGATGGTGCAGATCCGCTCCCATAAACAAAATGGAGTGGTCCCAGCCATCTCCCCAGTTGAACTTGCAAATGAACTGAGAGTTGCAGCGTCAAGCAACAACTGGCTCCAGTTTCATAAAGATGGACTGAAGCTCCAGGCGTATTTGTGGACATATGGGTCAAGGTTTTACGTCCCACTCACTCTTTGGAGTAAAATATTGGCATAATCTCATGATGCCAAGGTCTCGGGCCATTTTGGGTTCACAACAATCCTAAAGTTGCTTTCCCTCCAGTTTTGGTGGCCCACAAATGCAAGGATGTCAAAGACTATCTGCAAGAGTGTACCACTTGCGCTAAGCACTAAATCTGTTGCTGTGTTTAAGCAGGCCTCAATTCTCTTGATGTTGTCTGATTTTCTTTTTTTTTTTAAAAAAACGTGTTGTTATAGTAATAAATCAGTATTTTAAAAAACTGTTGTAGATCATGGTAATAAATTAAATGGCATTCTGTTTGGCTCTGGCATTTTATTAATCCCTTTTTCCATAGCTGGCTTTGTAGCATCAGAGGTGCTAGTTCATTATGATTTAAGTGGTTGAGCTTTAGCTATTCATTCATAACAGTAATCCATATTTATGGGAATATCTTTCAAGGACACCCATGTCCCTTCTGTCGATATAATATTCCACTATGGCACAGATTAGCCATGGTCTAGATCCCAGTGAGATAAAAGCTCTATAAAATTATGCAAATCATAGTCTGGGACAGGATTTTATCTTAGTTTGTATATGAACAGAAATGCTTTAATTCCATTCCACTTGGCAAAACAGAGAAATTTGTATTGAAAACAATAAGAGAATTCAGGATTTTAACACAGTGGCTAGATCTTATTTTAGCAGAGTGAAGGGGATCCTAAATGGTTAAGGATGGGATTACAGATAATAATAATCATAATAATAATAATAATCATCATCATCATCATCGTTATCGTTATGCACTTATATTCCGCTCTATCTCCCCAAGGGGACTCAGAGCGGATTACAACATACACAGATAGGCAAACTTTCGGTGTCTTAATACAGTGGAATAACAATGGCATAAAAATACACAGAACAAAGGTAAAGGCTTCCCCTTTCATCTCTGGCTTTCTGGAGGTGGTGCTCAACTCTGGCCATGGGGAGGTGCTCTTGTTCCATTTCCAAGCTGAGGAGCCCGTTGTCTGTAGACACCTCCTGGTCGCCTTGCTGGCATGGCTGCCTTTATTCCCTTTGTGCTGAAGTGGTACCTATTGATCTACTCACATTTGCAAGTATATTAGCAGTCTGGGTTGTGAATGACAGTGCAACATATAGTAAGAAATGCCTATTTATACATAATTGGAGATACTATGGTTATAGGCAATAGAAAATCTTTGAATTATTACTATTAGAATTATGTACTGCTAATTGTGATGTTCTATTTTACCAAAAGCATTGTAGTAGTGGCCTGAAACCAGTGACTAGCTATCAATTTCTGATCCTGTTGAGAAATACATGCTATGTGTTACACCCCAAACTGCAAGATGATACCAGAGCAATGGCACCCTGGTTCTTCATGTAGAGATTTCCCTTCTACAGAAAGCAAGACACCTGGTGTTTTCTTTGACAAATGTGGGAGAGCCATATAATGCTGGTAAATCAATAATAGGTATTTTCACTGCTGGAGAAATGCAACTCCTCTGATATCATGCGTCGCAGATACAGTGCATTCCTGTCAAAATTGCTTTCTGAATATATTTAATAGGTGGTTCATGGAGAGGATAGGAGGAGCAGATTTTTATTCCAATAGAGAGAAGAAACATTTCCCTCTTATTTGGGCACTAAAAACTATGCAGTGTTGAACATACAAGCAGGCTTACCTTGAAATAACTGGAAGTAGGAAAACGTATATAATTTCTACATCTCTCTCATTGAAAACCTAAGGAAATACTACAATTTAGAAAGAATACATTTATTCCTCGCAAAGCGCTTGTTGAGATGAAAGTTTACTACAGTCAGCCCTCTGGATCTACTAATTCAGCATCCATGGATTCAACTATTCACAGCCTGAACATATTTTTTTTAATTCCGAAAAGCAATTCCAATGTTGTGTTATTTTATGAGGGATTCCATTTTACTATACCATTGTAGATTATGAGACTTGAGCATCCACAGATTTTGCTATCTATGTGGAGTCCTGGAACCAAACCTACTGTATTTGTGTAACTATTGCTGCTGAATGGGAATGGGCAGAGCTCAGATTTGAATTTAGGCTATTTCTCATCTTTATCTCCCATTGTTTGCCTTCACCGTTCTCCTGGAAGGTCATTGGAATAAAATACCATGGAAGCTGGTTGTGGCTTTGGCAAAAGAGCAATAATTATCTGTTCTTCCACTAGTGATGACATCATCAGCAGACTTTTTTTCTCAAGCTGTTGGGTGGTGATGACAACATGATATTGCGAAAACTTGGAGATAAGGAGAGTTAATGTGGTGTCATGGTTTGAGTGTTGAAGAAGGGCTCTGGAGAATATTGTTCAAATTCCCGCTTGGCCAAATAGGGCAAGAAATTCTCTCTCAACCTCCTTTAGACACTTTTTGCCAAGAAAACTTCATGATAGGTTCACCTTAGGGTCATTGTAGAAATGATCCGAAGGCAAACAACAGATGGGAAAGGGATTTGTAGAGTTCATGCATTTTCCTCCTACCCTTTTTAAAATCACCCGCTAATAAAAAATTTCCAAGAAATGTACAAAGGTACAATCCAATCTAAATTACAATCGAGGTAGAACAAATTGTGAATCAGAACCTGAGGCATTTATAAGGCACTGTGAATGGAGTAATAATATGTGAGGGACAAGGTCACCAAGATTATAAGACTCCAAATTTAAATCCTGTACAAGTAGAGAAATTGGAGATGCAGGGTGACATCTGACTCAGACTGAGTTTATTCTTAAACTTGAAGATCTTCTGCTTTCAGCTGCACAAGTTTTTAAAAAGTTATCCTATACTAAGTAGAGGATAAACTGGAGGTTTTTTTTGGAGGTCAAGTAGGTCAGGTTGTTCTGTGCCTCAAAATCATTTCTCACTCATGACAACCCTAAGGCAATGCTATTACAGGATTTTCTTGGCCAGATTTCTTCAAAGGAGCTTTGCTGTTGCCTTCCTATGAAGTTGAGAGAGTTTGGTTTCTCCAAGGTCACTCAGTGGATTGCCATGCTTTGGACTCCTGGAGTTTTAATCAACCAATCAAAGCAATATACTGTATTTACTCATTCTGATCAATCCCCCTGGGGATACCTGAAACCATGAATAATAGTAAACTCTATATTTTGACTGTAATTGGGCTGGAAGCATACCATAGAATTGCATTAGAGGACTTAGAGGGGCCCAACAAACACTGCAGGGGGTGGGGATATTTTTTGGAGTGCGGATAGGTGAAACCATGGATATTGAACTGTAGATAGTTTTGCATTCTGAAATTGTTGTCCTGCGTAGTATCTGTTATTGCATCGTTTCCAATACTTGTTTCTTAAATGCAGGTATGAATAGACCTGCTCTTCTTTGACTTTAGTTTTCAATTTTAATTATTTTTTTAAAGCCTGAAATTACGGTGTGTACAAAGTCTTATGTAAAAGATTGGCAGTTGACATGAACAGTGAGGATTACTGTGTGCTGAGCTCTTAAACGTATCAGAAGGGGAATGTAAAGGAACCTTCTCTCTATTTATAAGAATCCTGTCAGTACCTATTACCATAAGATAAATCAAGTGGTTGTACATTAAGGCTAATTATGTTGTAATGTAACATAGTTGCAATTATTCTTAATAAGCAGAATCTTTGCTTCCTTGATGGATCACTAGCTATAGCAGAAGATTTCCAAGTAATCACATAATGTTGCTATGTTAAGCGATATTTAATCCAGCATAAATATTCTTACAGAGGAAAGCAACTAGTATCTTATCTCTCAGATTGATGTAGCATTGGGCAGCTGTCTTGCAGGCTCTCTGTATTTCTTATTTGGACTGACTTAGAGAACAACACATGCAGGGCATGACTTCAGTGATTAAACCTTTTCTCGGACAGTGTCAGCATACCAGTTCAAATGGGATTGTGTTTTTCAACTGGAAGGGTTTACGTTGTATGAAATGGTTCAGATTCATTACACCCCATTCTGTTCTTCCTGCTTTTCTACCATGATTCATTTCAAAATAAACCCTTATAGATCCACATAATAGGAAGTGACAGAGAAAAGTGGCCATGAAAACCCATTGGATGACCTTGGGCAAGCCCCATCTTCTTACATCCAGAAAAGCTTATGATAAGTTCACCTTAGTGTCACCATAAGTTGGAAATAACTTGACAACACATGACAACAATAAATATTATAATATCTACAATTTTAAATATTGCACATTTTGATATTGTCATGATAATTTTTGGTTAACAGTGCAGTTATAGTAGTTATAATATAGTTGCTTTCCAGGTGTTCTAAGTTCAGTATACCCTCCTCAGCATGTATTGTTGTAGTAAAACTAAGGCTGAGCTGCCACTGATAGCATATTTTTCACAAAAGGGACACCTCTCTTGACAATTGTCATCAGAACTAGAAGGGGCTAATTATAAGCAACACATTTACCTTTTTCTGTTCCCTCCTTATCTTGTTTGTCCGTTATAATCCTTTAGGGTAAATTCAACATTTCTTCTATTGTATCTTTGGTACCTTCCATACATTTGTTTTGGGGTTTTGTCCAATGTGATTCTGAACATGTATGTACAGGATCTTGAATTTTAAGAAATTATAATGGGCTTGTTTCATTTTCAGTTCTTTTCTATACAGTCAACCCTCTACATTGCTGTGGTTAGGGATGCAGGATCTCTGTGAAAATGGGAAAAAACCCACTGATTTTTAGCTTGAGAAAACATCTCTCTGTGAATCTCTAGGACCTACAGCATGACTCTATAATAAATCAATGAAATAGTCATAGAGGACCTCTAAATGTTATTTCTCCACAGGGTACCTTTGAAAGTAGAACAGGCAAACAACGCTCGTGATGCTTTAGCAAAAACAGTCTACAGCCACCTCTTTGATCATGTGGTAAACAGGGTAAACCAGTGTTTTCCTTTTGAGACATCGTCTTTCTTTATTGGCGTCCTGGATATTGCGGGGTTTGGTAAGTGCTTTGCATTTTAGTGATTCTGTTTATTTGTTACTTTTTCATTTCGTCTTTTTTTAGTCTTGCAACTCTGTGCTGTGGAAGAGGTTCCCAGCCAAGTTTTAACTAAACTCATATTTCCTCACCTTCACCATTACCTGCTGTATCATAAACTGCTAGACATTGCGATCTTTATTAATTTTCATCCTAACATGAAAATTTGATATTTTCAAAACCCAATGCTTTTTAAAATAGTATGAATAAAAATGATCAATCCCTCTCTTTATTTTCACTAATAAAAAATGATCAATCCCTCTCTTTATTTTCACTCCTCATAGGACTTGTTCTCCTGAAGATAAAATGATTTTTCAAAAAGCAAAGAACATGGTCTAACCTTTGGGTTTTGTGTGCCTAGCTTAACGCTCATGGCTTTCTCTCTACTGTTGGGCTTTCCCTTGTATGTGTACCTCTTTCTTGGTTCTGTGGGGCCAACTCTAATTAAATATTGCAAACACAATTACAATTCTTGAGTCTCAATATATATATTTTAACAGCAGTACAACAAAATTATACATTGAATTTGATACATATGCACAGTCACAAAAACTCCAAGCATCTAATTGAAGTACCATTGTGGAACCTTCTGCTTTGTCTTCTCAGCTGTATTGCAATATTTGGATGTAAATCTTAGTCATTCAGTGTTTTTAAAGGCTTACTTCTTACCCCTAGAAATTAGTTTATCTCCTCAATAGCTCACCCTCTCTTTCTGAACTCAGTTGGTGTGTACAAACCCTTTCTTAGGGTTTTCCTCACCCACTGGGACAGATTCAATAACTCATAGAGGTTACACATACCCATGGATGAATGAAAGCTATATTGTGTGTATTTTCAGGAGAGCCACCAGCTAGCAATGTTGCATTTGCAATAGCAATGATAAATGTATCTGTGATATTTAAGACTGGTTTTATTATTTATTTTTGAATGCAAGTACTTGTTTGACTAAGAATAGGCCTGTTGAAAACAAGTTACACAAACTCACTGTAACCACCATTGATTTCCTTTTGTAGTTGGAATTGAAATAGGATTTAAGCATAGTGTTGTTAAGTCTGTATCTTACTTCTTCACATTGTAATATATTGATACAATCTTGACACAGTTAATGAATGTATTATGTAAAACTATTTCCTAAATTAATTTTTAAAAACCCTTATATTTGAAAAAACCTCTACACTTCCACATGCTATTTACTGCTTTACTAAATTGTGAATTAATATATTTTGGTGGCCATATTTGCATTATTGTACCAAAGTATGAGAACATGAACCTAGTGAAACATTACATATATTGATTATTTAAATTTGGGTTTTCCCATGATGATCTAAATTAAGATTATAAATATATTCTGCAGTCTGACTTCTACTCTAAAGCTTTTTATCTCTTTGTTTTACAGAATATTTTGAGCACAATAGCTTTGAACAATTCTGCATCAACTACTGTAATGAGAAGCTGCAGCAGTTCTTTAATGAGAGGATTCTAAAAGAGGTATCTAACTTAGAATGTAGTGGGAAATCAACTCATTCAGGATGTACAATAATTTCCCTCCAGCTTATTGTCTTAGCAACAAATTTTCTCAATCTTGTATTGCTCATGTTCGTCTTAATGTGTTCTATTTTTTTGTATCAGGAGTGACTTGAGAAACTGCAAGTCACTTCTGGTGTGAGAGAATTGGTCATCTGCAAGGACATTGCCCGGATGTTTGATGTTTTACCATCCTTGTCAGGAGGCTTTTCTTATATCCCCACATGGGGAGCTGGAGCTGACAGAGAGAGCTCAAACTGCTCTCCCTGGATTCCCACCGCTGACCTATTGGTCAGCAGTCCTGCTGGCACAAGGGCTTAACCCACTGCACCACCGGGGGCCACTGATCTACTGAGCAGGGGCCATAAGAGGATGACTTAGATACTACATCAGTCTGGGACTCAGAAAGTCAAAGAGGAATCATGAATTTCCAATGAACCTTGTCTCAAAAACAAAGAAATAAACTTCACAACCCTTTCATCTTGCATTATGATGGCTTTTTCCCAGGCTCTGGCTCTTTTTCCTATGAAAGAACTGATCATTTATCCTGTGAAATGGGGTGTATTCACTGAATTCTGGCTATTGATCATAGTTCACATGAACATTATAACCAGAAATCCTCCCTTCCCCAGCCAAAAGCAGTCTTACAAAATTTCTCTATGATGTAGCTAATTTAAAGAATCTTATACAAATGATATACAAGTTTGATCATCCAAAATTATAGCTATCTCATTTACAAAGGGTCTTATTCTTGTGTAGTGTCTTGTAAGTCCTTTTGTGAATATACGTAAAAGTGCTATACCAGAACTGACATTATTTTCCCAACAACTTTGTGAGCCTATGAAATTTTTGAAGGATTGCAAATCCTTTAGAATGGTGAAGAAAAAGTTCTTAAAAGTATGCATTTTTTTTAAAAAAAATCAGTTTTATATTTAACATTAATGAACAAAAGGGAGCCGTTCAGCTATTAATTAAGCTGTGATGATGGCATTATTCTAAGAAGGTCAAATTTAATAAGGATTTCTAGTAATCAACCAAGAACATGATTGTTCAAGATACCTCATTTTTATTTAGTGGAAATTACGAAAAGCATATCAGATGGAAGGTTGGAATATGTATACTTTCAAGTTGCCTGTCAACTTATAGCAGCCTAGTGAATTCTATAGGATTTTCCTAAGCAAGGACTACCTAGAGATGGTTTTGCCAGTTCCTCTAAAAAACAGTATACAACAGCTGGTATTCTTTAGTAGCTTCCCATCCAAGAACTAACCAGTGTTGACTAGAAGTCACATACACACATGAAGTATAAAATAATACATTTACAATATATTGTTAATGGTTCGGGACCTGCTTATCTTCGCAATCGCATCTTCCCCTATGAACCAGTGCATACTTTGAGATCATCCAGGAAGGCACTGCTCTCCCTCCCTCCGCCGTCTCAAGCGCGGTTGGTGGGGGCGAGGGAGAGGGCCTTCTCGGTGGTGCCCCCCCCCCCGGCTCTGGAATTCCCTCCCTAGGGAGATCAGACAGGCTCCCACCTTGTCCTCTTTCCGGAGTCAATTAAAAACCTGGATGTTCCAGTGTGCTTTTGATTAAGCAGTCCACCAGTAATTTTTCCTGGCCCTACTTTAAGTTCAGCACTTTACATTGGCCCTCTTATTGTCTACCTCAACACCTTTGATGACATTATTTCCAGCCCTGCTTATTGGATTATTGCACTTTTCATGCACCCCCTTCAGAACGTATTGTACTCAGTGAACCTGTACCTCAGCTAACATCAAGCAATATGTTCTTTATCTCAGCCATATTGCTTGATGTTAGTTTACAATTGTGACTGTTTTTATATTTTCATATTTGATGTTTTAATCTGTTGTGTTTTATTGTAATTTTGGGGCCTGTCCCTTGTAAGCCGCCCTGAGTTCCCTTGGAGAGATGGTTGGCGGGATATAAAAATAAAGTTGTTGTTTTTGTAGTAATATCATACTCTGATTCCAATTCCATAGCACTGATATCTACTTATTTATTTGTAAGAAGCAACTTGAGAATACAGTTATAATGTATAAAAACCATAAACAAAGTTAAAAACTTGACATTATGTTAGATTTCCTTTAATCACTTGGAGTGCCTCTGGTGTGGCTATTAGAAGGCCCTCTGTTGTGCATGTGGCAGGCCTCAGACTGCATTATAGTAGGTGGCCTGTGTTTTGCTCTTCTCCACACTCGCATGTCGTGTACTCCACTTTGTAGCCCCATTTCTTAAGATTAGCTCTGTATCTCGTGGTGCCAGAGCGCAGCCTGTTCAGTACCTTCCAAGTCACCCAATCTTTCTGTGTGCCCAGGATCTGTATTGAGATAGTGACTATGTGATTAACACAAAGAATTAAAGCAGTCGCAATGTGACTAGCATAAAATGTGATTATGGAATAATAAATGAAGTAGTAATCAAGACAGTAATAAATGACATATAGTGCATAAGTAAAATAAAAAGAAACCCAGATTAATGTCGAAGACTTTCACAGCCAGAATCACTGGGTTGTTGTGAGTTTTCTGGGCAGTAAGGTCATGTTCCAGAAGCATTCTCTCCTGATGTTTCACCTGCATCTATGGCAGGCATCCTCAGAGGTTGTGAGGCATCCTCAAATGTTGTGAGGTTGAGACCTCACAACCTCTAAGGATGCCTGCCATAGATGCAGACAAAACATCAGGAGAGAATGCTTCTGGAACATGGCCTTACTGCCCGGAAAACTCACAACAACCCAAGCTCAGATTATTCTCCTCTACTCTAGTCTTAACAGACTGAGGCATTCTACATTCCCAGCATGTTCACCAAGCCTGTGGACAATCCAACATTTTAGCGTAGACGGATCTAGCAAACAACTTCAGAAGTCAAGAAAAGTGTTTAAACTTTTCAAGTTTCAAAATATTCATAAATCAACAGTGAAAAATAGGCAAGAGGCAGAGGAGAGTTTTCACTGAAAGTAAGTATTTTTCAGCCCCTAGGAGAAAAAGCTATAAGAATGGAAAGGGAAAGAACAATAGGTAAAAATATTGGAAAAATAGTATTTTCTACTTCTCTATCTTGAGGGAGAGAAGGTTTCTAGCCTTTGGCAAAAACAGCTTCAGGCATCAAACATCCAAGCAAAGAGAGCTTCTGTACCCAGCAGCCCCTATGCTTTGTTTCAAGGTGTATAAAACCTATTTGCCCCTGGTAACACCCCAGGAGGTGACACCAGTCTTTCTGACTGGATATAATACCACTCTCATTAAAACTTGCTCTCTGTTGATTAATTCCTGTACCTTAACGTATGTGACCTCTTTGATGATTCTTGTTTAATTATGAACTGTCCTTTTAACATTCACTGTCAAAACTCAAAAGTCATAAATCCTTGGTTCAAAGTTTATCCCGAGTATCCAGCTATGTTATTATGGCATTACCCTCCAACGCTTTTGTAGAGGAGAACTAGGAAACATACGGCCAAGCAACATCAGAGTGTGGCACACAATATTACTGAGGAAGAACACACAAGCTGGAAGAAGCTGCAGCATTTTACTTTCATTGAGTCTATAGGGAAGGGCACATTTCTGCCTTAATTAAAACAAGGACAATACATTTTTTAACTCAAAGTATCATTAAACAAAGTTTGACAATACCAAGATTGTGTTGTCGAAGGCTTTCATGGCTGGAACCACTGGGTTGCTATGAGTTTTCCGAGTTGCATGGCCATGTTCCAGAAGCATTCTCTCCTGACGTTTCGCCCGCATCTGTGGCAGGCATCCTCAGAGGTTGTGAGGTCTGTTGGAAACTAGGACAAGTGAGGTTTATATATCTGTGGGATGTCCAGGGTGGGAGAGAAAATCTTGACTGTTTGAGGCAAGTGGGCTGGACCACTCTCACAACCACCATGTCAGACTACACAGAGAAGTCATTGAAATGCACAAGCATGTGGACAATTTCAACAGAAAAGAGGAAACCATGAAAATGAACAAAATCTGGCTACCAGTATTTTAAAAAATCTAAAATCAGGACAGTAAATAAAGACAACACTCTGCAAACAGGGGAATTCCAGACAGGAAACAATCAAGGCCTGCTAACACCTTCCAACAAAGGATTTTCCCAGTCAGGAAGCAGCCAGGCCTTGAAGCTGCAAGGCCATTCAATACTAACGAAGCTGCCCAATGGCAACATTCACATATGCCTCAAACAGACAAGAATTCTTTCTCCCTCTCTGGACATTCCACAGGTATATAAATTTCACTTGTCCTTGTTTCCAACAGACCTCACAACCTCTGAGGATGCCTGTCATACTTGTAAATGTGGTTGAAATGTCAGGAGAGAATGCTTCTGGAACATGGCCATACAACCTGGAAAGCTCACAGCAACCCAGTATCAAGATTCAATGCCTGAATTTAATATTTAAAATATAATGTAAAATTAATTTAAAACAAGCTTTTCATTCTGTTGGAATTAGACATTTCTGTATAAAAGAATAACAAAATGATAAATTTATAAGACTTTTAATAGAGAATATTTTGGAAATAATTTCTGAATTATGTTTATTTTGCATTATTTCATAGCCAGAGAAATAATCAAGAGATAAGCTCTTAGTTTTCAAAGATAATTTATTACTGGTAGGAAGTTTTCCAAGACAGGTGCCTTTTATTCAAAGGTTTTCATTAGTCCATCTTTAAAGGGTGGTTCCTCCCTCTCTGGCCCTCTTCCAATCTTGTGTCCCATGGTTCATCCTTGAAGGCAGATTTTGAGCGCTATTTTCAGCTTAATGTCAACCATGGACAAATTTTTCAGGCAGTATCCCCTAGTTTCCAGCAGGACAGGGACTAGTGATATACTGATTCATATATGGGATGATCAGCCTGACTGGAAGCAATCCACCCAATTCATAAACAATGACAGTGCAAGTACTGGTGTTCAACGTTAAATCCTCTCAATAGTCAAATCAATGTGAAAATGGACAGTTAAGCAAATATTTACCTGTATGACAATGTCTTTCTTTTTCAGGAGCAAGAACTCTACCAGAAGGAAGGTTTAGGTGTCAATGAAGTTCACTATGTAGATAACCAAGACTGTATAGGTAAGCATGTTGAAAAGCAACATAATGCTCCTATAGAAATTAGTAATAATAATAACTTGGAATGCTTTGATTCTGGTGAGGATTGATATGAAAACATGAAAGCCAAATGGTTCCTCATTTCCTAAAAGATTTTTTAAATATGCTCCTCTTAATGCTCAGGATATTGTCCTAGCTTACTAACTTTAATTGCTTTTAGATTAAATTGAGCAGTGCAGATAGTAAAAACACTCAAATTACTAGGAAGGAATATGCGAATTGGGTGTTTTCTCCATGGAGGAAGGAGTCCAGTTACCCTTTCATCCTAAAACTCTGGATCCCATGCTTTTCTGGAGGGGAGCTGAAGGATTTTGAGGAAAGCATGACACTACCAGAGAGAGGGGAAAAATCACTTTTGACAGTGAGGGCATCTAGTTCACAGTTTTCCTGTCGTAGTCCCTGTGAATCGCACATATGATATCTCTCTGCGCTTGCGCAATAGCTTTCAGAACCTTCTAGAACAAGAAAAAAACACTTGACTCCTAGCTGGCCCCACCCACCTCGCCCCGAGTATAAGTAGCGCGTGGGAGGGGCCAGCCGTCAGTTCTCTTTTCCGCGCTCTTCGGATAGCTTGGGAACCCTTTTTTTCTCCAAACGTATTCTTCTATTGACTCCTTCTATCGGACTGCTTAACGGACTTGACTTGATTCGACTTGACTAAGATATTGGCTGACGATTTGGACTGGTTTTTCTGCTGCTGGCTATCGACCCGGACTGTTCGACCCTTCTGATCTGCTCCAGCCCTTGACCCGGCCTGTCTTCGACGATCAGTCATGTCTACCACCTCCTTTAAGAGGTGCTCTAACCCTTCCTGTCCCAATACCTTTCCGGACACGGATGGCCATTCCTTATGCCTAGCCTGCCTGGGCGAGGGCCATCTCGCTCAATCTTGTGCGGTTTGCCTGGCCTTTACCGCCCAAACGAGGAAGAACAGGGAGGTGCGACTTAAGGCCGCCCTGTGCGAAAAAGCTCTTCTCCCTCCACCTCCCTCTGGACAGGCTGGGCCCTCTCCCGACCCCAACTTACCTTTTTCGCTCCGGGACGATCCTCTGGCCAAAAAGAAGGCCAAGAAGCCTAAGGACAAGGGCCTCCAAGATGGCCGTCGCCCTGCTCTGCCTAAAAAAACGGCAGCAAAAAGGGCGGGAATCGCTGCAGACAAGACCCCCGCTCCTCCCTCCCATTCTGGGAGGGCCCTGGGCAGCCTCCCGCGACCTCTGCCGGCCGCTGAGGCTAATGCAGGCTCCCCCGCTGTGGCGCCTTCCCCAATGCAAGGAATGGGAGACCTAGCATCGCCCGCCCCGATGCCTATCCTCCTGCCTCATGAAGCCGCGTTCTCCCCGGCATCGGGAGGGACACCGCTGATGCCTTCGGCCCTCTCTCCGGGCCCGACTTTGACTCCGATCCCATCTGGGATCCAGGTCTCGAGGAGCTTGGTCGCGGGTCCTGGGCAACCAGAAGCTCCGCCCCTCAGGAAGCCGGCAGGGACACTCCGCCCATTCAGGAAGTGTCCGTTGAAGCCCCGCCCACCCAGGGCCCGAGCGTCCCGACGCTGGCAGGGACGAGCCCTGCTGCTGAGCCTATGGGCACGATGCCGGCAGGGAGCCATGCCCTCGGCCTGCTGCCTCCCTCCGCGGATCCCCTCTCGCCCCAGTCGAGATCGGTCAGATCGGGCCGATCCGCGCACCATTCCAGCAGGTGCAGGCGGCGCTCCCGGAGGGCGGAGGCTCTCGACGTCACCGACGCCGCTCCCACACCAGGAGCAGAGCGCGATCTTCCTCCTCCTCCTCCTCCTCCTCCTCCTCCTCCTCCTCCTCCCCTCCGCGCAGGAGGCACCGACGCAGCTCACGATTCTCGCGCTCCTCATCCTGCCGTCGGAGGGCCTACGGACCGGCCCACGTGCCACCACCGGGATGCTGGCAGCTCGGCCCAGCAGGGCAGCTTGTTTATGTGCCCATGCCCCCACCGCTCACGATGCCTCCTCCTCCCTCGGCGGCGCTGATGACTGGGATGGGCCCTCCAACACCTGATGACTGGGATGGGCCCTCCAACACCTGCCAGGCCTCCCCTCACTACGCCAGCGGCCTCCGCTCCAGTGATGGATGCTGTCACCACACCGGTGGTCGACCCTGCCCCCTCAAGTGGGGCCTTGAGTGCTAATCTTGTCCTGGCTGAGCCCAGCACTTCCGCTGCAGGTTTTCGCTGTGCTGATGGGGGGATGCTGAGCGGCCCCAGCACTTCTGGCGCGCTGGGCCTGCTCAACCAAAGCCTGTGCCAACCTACCACATCTACAGTCGCGGCTTCGTCCGCCCCACAGGCCGCTGCTACCCCACTGATGGGTTCGGGCACGGACCTGCCTGCTCCTGTGACCCACGATGACGGGGACCCACCGGACTCCGATTCGGACACTGAGCCGCATGAGGCTCCTCAGCCTTTGGGGGGTGAGGACACTGTTTTGCCTACAGACTATAATAAATTTGCCGCCTTGGTAGAATGAATGATTAAGGCTTTGGATATCCCTGCTCCAAAACCCCCGGAGCACGTGGAAGATCCAATGTTTCCGTCGGAGGAGCAAAATGTGGTTGTGTCTTCCACCCTCCCCCTCCTACCATATTTGCTCAAGTTGGCCAAGATAATTTATATGCCTCCTTCATCGGTACCAGCTGTGCCTAGGCGCCTGGACTCTATGTATAAGATAGATATGGCCACCGCCAAGTGGGTCCTAGCGCCCCCCAAGGCCAACACGGTGGTAGCTGAGGTCTCAAAATCTAAACGTTCCAAACCCTCCCAGACTGCCCCCCGACAGAGAAGGCAGGAAGTTGGACACGCTGGGTAAAATGGCCGTCGACAGAGCTCTAAAGGCCTTCGAAAGAGTGGTCACAGGTCAGGTAGTACAGGTACTTACCGACAACACGACGGTAATGTACTACCTGAACAAGCAGGGCGGCACTCACTCCCCGAACCTACTGACATTGTCCACCCAGATATGGGAGTGGTGTATAGACAGGGGGATCCATTTATTAGCAACACACGTACCCGGGGAACAGAATGTGTTGGCAGATTCCCTCAGCCGCAACCCGCTGGCGCACCACGAGTGGTCCCTGAACTCGGAAGAAGTCCACAGACTCTTTCGAGCGTGGTGACCTCCGGACATCGACCTGTTCGCGTCGTAGTCCAACGCCAAGTGCCCCCTCTTTTGTGCAAGGGCTCACGCCTCCGCGGAGGAGGGATGCCTGGGGGACGCCTTCCTGCACACCTGGACAGGATGGACAACTTACGCCTTTCCCCCCTTCCCTCTGCTGCTACGCACAGTAGCGAAGGTCCAGAGGGACGTCGCCTGCTGCATCTTGATAACACCCTGGTGGCCGAGACAGCCATGGTTCTCCCCGCTCCGCCACCTGGCACGGGGAATCTTCGTGCGACTCTCCTCCAGACCCGACCTGCTGACATGCCAACAAGATCAAGTATTGTACCCAGAGGTACACAGACTGAGGCTGATGGCCTGGCGGATTCTGCCCGTCCCCTAAGTTCATTCTCCAATCTGCCTCACGCAATGCTCCGAATTATCGAGGCGGCCCACAGGCCCTCTACTAAATGTTCCTATTTATACAAATGGTCCAGATTTGCCTCCTTCTCTAGGGCCCGCAAGATAGACCCTAATACGGCACCGGTCTCTGTCATACTGGACTTCTTAGCGTCCCTTTTGGACGCAGGTCTCTCTCACCCCTCTATCAAGTGCTACCTGGCCGCCATCTCCTGGTTCCGCAGGAAGTCGGATATGCCTTCCTGTTTTGCGGACCCGCTAGTGAAGACTTTTTTGAGGGGGATTTTGAACATCAGACCCCCTACTACCCCCGTAGTTCCCTCGTGGAACTTGGACTTGGTACTTAAGGTGCTAATGAAACCTCCATTTGAACCATTGGCGACCGTCAGCTTGTCTCACCTATCATGGAAAACTGCGTTTTTGGTGGCGGTCACATCGGCTCGACGGGCTAGCGAGCTCTGTGCCCTCAGAGCGGACCCACCTTATCTGAAATTTCATAGCGATAAGGTCGTCCTCAGGACCGATATAGCCTTCCTTCCTAAAGTATCTACGTCCTTTCACCTCTCCCAGGACCTGATTTTACCCTCCTTTTTCCAGAACCCTACTTCCCCTCTGGAACAGAATCTGCACCTCTTGGATGTCCGCAGGGCACTGGCATTCTACGTGGACAGGACTGCCTCTATCAGAAAGACCCCTAGACTTTTCATTAAATACCGCCCTGATGTTCTAGGTGGCCCTGTCTCTTCGCAGCGACTGTCTTCATGGATCGTGTCCACGATTCAATTAGCCTATCGCATATCTGGCAACCATCTGCCTCCTCCTGTGAGGGGTCATTCGACGAGGTCGGTCTCAACATCTACAGCCCACTGGAGAGGCGTCCCACTGGACGTTGTCTGCCGGGCGGCCTTATGGTCGTCCCCTCTTTCTTTTGTTACCCACTACAAGATGGATGCCGTGTCCAGAAGAGACGCACAGTTTGGCAGAGCTGTCTTGTTTTCAGCGGTGGCATGACGCCCACCATCCAAGGTTAAGATCTCGCTAATCTATCATATGTGCGATTCACAGGGACTACGACAGGAAACTATAGGTTGCTCACCTGTAACCATGGTTTCCTGAGTAGTCACCTGTGAATTCGCACATCCCCACCCGTCCTCCCCTCGAGTGTCATGCCCCGCGTTCTGTCTGCCTGTGGCGGAAAAGAACTGACGGCTGGCCCCTCCCACGGGCTACTTATTCTCGGGGCGAGGTGGGTGGGGCCAGCTAGGAGTCAAGTGTTTTTTTCTTGTTCTAGAAGGTTCCGAAAGCTATTGCGCAAGTGCAGAGAGATATCATATGTGCGAATTCACAGGTGACTACTCAGGAAACCATGGTTACAGGTGAGCAACCTATAGTTTTTTCCCCCCATGCAACTCTGGATTGAACTCATAATTATTAATCAAACCCATAATGTCATCTAATGGCCTAAAACTTACTGGAGCAGCATACATTCTGGGAAAGCCTAGGTATTAATCGCTGCCAGTTTTGTAGGTTTAATATAGTGAAAAGTAATATTCTGAGGTTTGGAGGGATGGGTGTGTTGTTTTGTGGTGTGTGTGAGGGAAGGCATGTAATTGTGTTGTGCAACAGCACAATGAGAAATAATGCTATTCTATTCTATTTTGGGTAAAAATCCCATTAACCGGCCACCAGTTGGCTATCTCAGTAGTGCCTACATTATGACATTATAACAGTTTTCTCCTGGTTCACAAAGGTGAATTTCTCAAACAATTTTTTATCCATTTCCATTTTACATTTTTTTTCTAATATTTATTGAATTAAAAATGCATTTTAAATGTTCTCTTTGCTGTATTTGTTATGTTATACTTTTGTTATGTTCTATATTTGTTATGTAATACTTTTGAATTCATTTAGTAAAAAATGTAGCTAATAAAATGTTTTGGATTTTTTTGTTATATTTTTGTTATGTTATAAATTTGTTATGTAATACTTTTGAATTCATTTAGTAAAAAAGGTAGCTAATAAAACTGAGTAAACATTAGTTCTATGAAGTAGGGAATGCCGTTTAACCAAAGGCATTTACTCATACACAACTTGATATACTGGTTAGTAGCACAGATAATATCCTGTGGAACTTGGTGAGAAATTGTGTTTTTGGCACTAGTGCAAGTTTTGTATTTTTCTATTGACTCCCTGACTTCTTTCTTACAAACAGATTTGATAGAAGGGAAATTAATAGGCATTCTTGACATCTTGGATGAAGAAAATCGTCTTCCCCAGCCAAGCGATCAGCACTTTACGTCAATGGTCCACCAGAAACACAAAGACCACTTCAGACTTTCAGTAGGTTTATTTTTGGTATTGAAATTGTTTAAATCCCATTTTAGAAGGGTCAGATTTTTATTGTTAATATATACCTTTCATTTGAAATTACATGCTCAGAAGTGGGTCTGACCATTAAGCAGAGTGACATAGTTAGCGTGAGAGTTCCTCTTTTTCTCAGGCATTTGGAGGATGCTATCCCATCAGCTTCTGCACATATTTTGAGGACAGCCTGAAACTCAGGACATCCCACAGTATTTTAGAATAATCTGTAGTGCACATTGGCATATTAAATATTGTATGTTAAACTGTAGAAGTCATAAGAAATAAGACCTTTTGATTACCTGCTTTATTTGCATCTCTACACAGTCTGAATTTCAAGCTTTTTTCCCTTCCTAATTTTCAGATACCCAGAAAGTCTAAGTTGGCAGTTCACCGAAATATCCGAGATGATGAGGGCTTTATTGTCAGACATTTTGCTGGAGCAGTATGCTATGAAACGGTAAATGGGGAATTATTATCTTTGAACACATTCTGTATTGATTTTTAAATAGTACTTTTTTCATATCAGGAGTGACTTGGGAAACTGCAAGTCGCTTCTGGTATGAGAGAATTGATGGTCTGCAAGGACATTGCTCAGGGGACACCCAGATGTTTGATGTTTTGCCATTCTGTGGGAGGCTTCTCTCATGTTCCCACATGGGGAGCTAGAGCTTGACAGACAGGAGCTTATCCTGCTCCCCGGATTTGAACTGCCAACCTTTTGGTTGACCAGTTCAGCCGGCACAAGGGTTTAACCCATTGTGCCATCGGGGGCAATAATAAATTGAAGTGGTGGGTAGACATAGCTGAGCAGATAAAGTATACTTAGCTGCACAGTGTAAGTCCAAAAATATATGTTTTTCTAAAACTAATTCTTAAACAATATTATAAGCTTTCATTTTAATATATTCATTTTACTCTTTTTACCTGAGCAACCTTCAAATGTTAAATCAAAACAGCACTCAAATCACAATCAAACCTTAACAACAAAGGAAGTAGGCCCCCCTCTAGAAATTAATTCAAATATTATGGTATCAGGTATTCCAGCTCAAAGCTAGTAAAATAACATTAAAGCATTACTGCTTTGTTAAACTAAAGGCTTCTCTTATTTCTGAATGTTAAAAGAGAACTAGTGTGGATGGTGGCAACGAAGGACAACGACAGAGAGAAGATCCTATTCTCTTTGAATTCCAACCTCTGCTTGACCTGGTAGTCTAAGTGCTGGAAAGGATGAACTGAAAAGGGGGCTTTCTCCACTAATATTGTTCTGGGGTGCACATAGTATTTTTGAGACAATTACTTACAAAAAAACCCCCAACCAAATATCATTTGGGTCTGGTTTATAAATTGAATGAGTCAATGAAATGTCTTGACTGTCTTGGCCTAGCCAATAAACACAAGATTTCTAATTATCAGTGCATAGAAATTGTACAATACTTTCGAGCACCTTGTTTGTTACATTGTGGTTTGGTGGTGACCTTCTATGGCCTGCACTTAAACACAATCGGCGCTGACAAAATTACCACCTGCCAACTGCAGAAGGCCACCTTACTGGGATTTGCACGCATTATTTGCCGATACATCTAGACACTTGGAAAAGTGTCCGGCGTGTGATCCAATTCAACAGCCAGCAGAGTGTCTGCTGTGGACTCATCTTGTTGTGTTTCAAATAATAATAATAATAATAATAATAATAATAATAATAATAATAATAAGCATTGCATTGGATATGAAGAATGAATGAAGCTTTACAACAAGAAGCTTTCATTTGGTGTTGGTTCACACGTGCAAGTTAGTGCTTGTTCAAGTGATGGAGCCGATGCATGTGAGTTCTCCCTCCTTCTTAATTGATGCTTTATTTTTCTCAGACCCAGTTTGTGGAGAAGAACAATGACGCTTTGCATATGTCTCTGGAGTCCCTTATATGTGAATCTAAAGATAAATTTGTCCGGGAGCTGTTTGAATCTAACACTAATAACAACAAGGACCATAAGCAGAAAGCAGGAAAGCTCAGCTTCATCAGCGTGGGAAACAAATTCAAGGTATGAGCATGGAGAACATACCAATTTTGCATGACTGCTTTTCTCCTTTTTTACATGGAATCTTAAGAGTAGGAATTAGTGTATTGGGTTTACTTTCACGTCTTCCTCTTGCCAGACCCTCACACTTAAACATATTTAATGAGAAACCAGCCTTACAGATTACTGTGTGTTGTCAACCTCAAGGCTCAAAATTGCAGCTGAAAAGAGGTTTGTGATTGGCTTGACGTAGCCTATATCCTCAAAACTTGACAGTATTGAAGGGAAGTGCATCTTCCATGCCTGTACCGTTCCGTGATGTTGAAGGAGCATTCCTTCCTGCCATGCAGGATACTGTCCTGCTGAGATGTTTCTCTTTTTTATCTGTGCCCCTGCTTCAGATCAGTTTGGGAAATTTTACTGTCTCTTTGATCCTCTGTGTCATCATTATCCTTTGAGCCTCTTTTATGGTCTATGCACAATTTGAGCAGTATCTCTCTTCTTCTTTTTATATTGCTTATTTAACTGTTTTTGGCAGGGCTTCTGGATGGACTTTTCTGTCACACATTTCCACTTGTGCACATTTCCACCACTGTCTTGTCATGTAGCCTAGCCTTGGGCTATAGCGGATAAGATTGTCAACAGTCATGAATGTTTGGCATGTTGCACTGGAACTGAATAGCTGTCCACAACATCATCTATAAGGGTTAATAACTAAATGATATAATATTTTTAAGTCAGATACGTTGAAGTATTTATTTTTACCTCATCCAAATGAGAATGTTTTAAGTTCAAAAATGTTATTTTTCTCGTTTATAATTAGAATTTTTTAAAAACCGAGGTCCTAAGTTGATGAACTAGGGATGTTCCATTGCAACAGTAATATTAGTATATGTGAATGTAAAGTAATATAGTTTTGGTCAATTGATTCAGTAAAGGTATTATTGGTTTTTCTCAAAGCAAAACTTTCCTTGAGTTCTAGGTAGCCCCTTTCTCTCTTCTTCCTAACCAACTGCAGTATCTGATATTTTCCCTATTTTTCCCCTTTGTACTTAGCTATAAATCTGACCTCTGTGCCTTCTTTTCTTCATATGTTAAGCCTTCTCTGTTTTTCTGCTTCCTTTCCCCATTCATCAGTTTTTATTTTAGTTGGCTTTTACCAGCTCAGGATGGCTGGAGGGAGCTATAGGGAAGTTGAGAGGAAAAGCAGGCAAAGGCAAAACCAAGGGCTGCAGGTAAATGTATCACCTTCCTGGACTCATTATTTATCGAACTGCTGTAATGTTCAGTCAGTATATCAGTTCTGCTTCATGTAACACTGAGAAAATATCTGTACTCTACAGCAGGGTATTTATTTCTGTACAGATTTTTTTTAATCAATCCATGTATTAAGTAGTATAAATATATCTTTTCAGAAGATTGAGGGAAAACAATAATTCCATGGGAGAGCACCTGCCTTGCATGTCACGTGGTCCCAGGTTCAATGTCTGGCATCTTCAAGAAGGGTTGGGAATGGTTCCTATTTCAAAACATGGAGAGGGACTGAGAGTCCATGTAGGCCAGTGGTTCTCAACCTGTGCATCCCCAAATGTTTTGGTCTACAACTCCCAGAAATCCCAGCCACTTTACCAGCTGTTAGGATTTCTGGGAGTTGGCCAAAACATCTGGGGACCCACGGGTTGAGAACCACTGATGTAGACAGTTGTAAAGTAGCTGAACCATTGCTTTATGGTCATTGAAGAATACTTGTATGTGGAAGCTCAGGTCTGTCTGGTTGAAGTCTAGTCTAGACTAATAGCTCTCTATATGGCAAAATGGTCTGTGGATTGTAGAACATCAGGCTTTGCAGACAAACAACCAAATGCTTGAATGTTCTTTCATGGTGGTGGGGTCTCCCCTCCTTTTATATATATATTTGCAACGTTCACTAAGTATTCTCTATTAAGCATGCTGATTACAGTCTTGAAAATTTAACATTGGAAGCAATACGTAACCTTTGAGGAAAAGCCTATAAAACTTCCCATTTACAAAGTCTAGAACTCATAGCAGAATCATAAAATCTCAGTTCTTCTCAAATGTCTGGGATAATAAATAAGACTTCTGAAGCCCATCTAGTACAGGTCTTCTTTTTGCACTCATACATTCTCCTAGCTGTAGCTTTGTCACATGATGAACTTTCTGGAGCTGTTTATCCTAGGATTTAGCTTTTATGTGGCCATCTTTCTTGTTGGTACCCACATTGTTTATTAGTTCCTTAATTAGATTGTATCCCACCTTCTCAACACTTGGTTAAAAATAGTGACTAGGACAAATACATCGAGCTTCATGGCTGAGTAGAAATATGAGTGCAGGTTAACCTGGTCCTAGTCCAGCACTTGAACCATTACACCATGTTGTGTTTCACTGACAGTATCACATCAAGGCAGTTAATTTCCTTCACTTAGTTGCCAGAGTTGTTCAGCCAAGAGCAGCAAGCACAGTTGTTGGCGTCCTCGAGGCAGTTCAGACTCTGTGTGCATGTTTGCCTGTGCACCTCTGTTTAAGTAACTGCTGGCGTGTTGGAGAAAGCTTGTATTGACTGATGCATGTGGATGGTAATGTATCCTGCTGTGTACATAATTTTAGTTCTCCTTATTGATGCAGATATTTTTGTTTTTACAGACTCAGCTAAATCTGCTGCTGGAAAAGCTTCGTAGTACTGTAAGTAAATACTACTGCCAGTTTGGAGCTTTCTTTGGTAAACTGCCATTTTTCTTCATTTCAGCTTTAAATCTATTATAATTTTCAAAGCCCACTGCAGGAACTGTGTTTTGGAGATTGCAGTTTGAAGGAAGATGAATTGCTCTTTGCTCTGGTATCCATGATCTATTTTGAGTACATAGTTAGTTATGTCTACGTTTAGACTCAACACTTTTAATAAATAATAGAATAGACTCTTTGTGAATCAGTTGCACTATTTTGGCCGAGGAATGCATTGGATTCTCTCTATAGCTCACACTGTTTTTCCAAGGGCTTGTCTACTTTTTAAGATATGTTCATGTCTGGTCAAAAGTGCATACTATTTTAATCATTCTAATTATTTTGGTGGGTAAAATAGAAAAATCCATGAATAGCTCTCTGCATCCTCTCCCCAAATAACTAATAAAATAAACTCAGAATAAGGTGATCCTCCCAGGTGAAACACAAACCTAAAATGAGCCCTGAAACTGAGTAGAAAGGTATACATATAACAAACTATTATGTTGGCCAAAGGGTTTACCAGGACTCAATACTGCTTTCAACCTATGAACAGTACTAGTTGACAGGGATTAAGAAAATACTAAGTATCAGAATTTTCTAGAACCTCAGAGTTACGCAGACAAAAACGGAGTGTGCATGAGCAAAATTTAATATATACATGGTAATCCTTCTCTTATGTCTATTTGACCTGCACAGAATGGAGACACACATTGCTAGTTGTTTAGAAGGATGTTCTCAGGGCCTGGCATTGTAGCCATAACATCTGATGGGTTTGCCCTGGGCACATAATACTGCAGGTACAGCAAAACAGGCCATGGACGAGATGTCTTAATCAGACTAATTACAATAGACCAGCTGAATATGTAATTATGTTTCTATGCCAACATCCGCTCACAACAGCTCAAACCTGCTGCCTGAGGTGGTTGCTTCACTTTGCTTCATGGTAAAACTGGCCCTAACTCTTAACCATTACTCCAGATTCTCCCATCTTTAATTGAGGGATTTTCTACATTGAAAACATTTGTCAGCTCAATTTATTTTTATGAGCTGTGTATGTGGGGAGGTAGACAAATCCTTCATTACATGATGTCCTCAAGAAAATCTAAATTTACATCCCTACCTTGGCCTAATTTATGATGCTGCAAAAGGAAGCCACGTGTTTCTGCCAACATTTGCAATGCTTTTTATTAGAAAAAGTCAGTTTTTGCTTTTGTTTTTTATGAATGCACCTATTCAAAAATGCATAAGGATGTGGGTTAACTACAGCTCCCAACATCGTAGGTTAATTCCCCGCAAACCCCAACAGTATTCAAAGTTGGCCATGTTGGGTCAGTGTGCCAGGTTTGGTCCCAATCCATCGTCTTTTGGATTCTCAGTGTTCTTTGATAGCAGATGAACTACAACTCCCAATGGTGGGTCAATCATCTAACCCCATCAATATTCAAAGTTGGCCATGATGGGTCCATCGTCAGTTGGGTTCACGGTGTTCTTTGATGGCAGGTGCCTCAGAAAAACCAAACTGTATTATCTAATCATAATGGTGCTACTCCTTTTGTATCAGGAGTGCCTTGGAAGCTCCACAGAGGGGTTTACCACTGGAATCACCTCATCCGTGACATTCCTCTCATTGCCTGATGTTTCCCAAAGTGGGGGAAAAGCCAGCTTTCTTCTTTCTGCCCCAGTACCCTTTTTCTTTTGGAAATGGATCAGTGCTATTAAGATTAGAAATAGCTGCGCCTTCGTGCTCCCATTTCTCTACTGGGCTTGAAATAATAGCTAGTTCAAGAGTGACCTACTGCCTTTTCACACTGACCCAAAGTGGTTTGATTGAAGCAGCCACTTGAAGTGACTCTGAAACAGTGCAGACTTTTCTTTCTCTAATAGCGATGAACAAATGCAGTGAAATAACAGCCTTCAGTTTTAAGCATTTCTCTGCCTCTTTTTTTCCTAGATGTAATGTGCACTTCAAAATCCGATGGAAACTTAGCAAGGGGAAAGCTTATGTTCTAGAGGAGGATTAATGTTCTTCATAAGTTTGGATTGTGTTTTGACCGCAGTGTTCAGTTACTGCAGCTTGGTTTGCCTTTTCTTTTTATTTAGTCCTTCAGGATGCTTGGAATAAGTGTGTACAAGTTTCTGACTCATAAATTCTACATCATTATAATCCTGCTGTTAACTTCAAATCCTTGAATGTCAGGGAGCAGATTGGCAAAAATTGCCCAATAATCTGTTACGCTAGCTTCCTTGTTGGTGACCTAAGTATAGGCAGCACCCAAAGTTATGTCATACTGGTTTCCATTGAGAAATCGAAAACGATGCAAAGAAAGGATTTCCAGAGATTTAGGACCTAACTTGTTTATACATACCTCAAAAGACTCTAGTAACAAGTATGTCTTGAGAATCTTGTCCACAATGGTCCTATTTTATGTCCATTTGAGTGTCCTTCAGAAAGACCTTTCACCAGACATTTTGATTCATGTTTTATTCAAAGCACCCTTGATAAATGACCAATGTTTAGCCTTTTTAGATGCAGCTTCATGGCGTCTGAAATTTTGCAGTTCATCAGAAACTGCCCCTTTTGATAGCAGGTGTCAAGATTGCAGGGCTTCAGCTAAAAAAGGGACAATTTCCCCCTTTGGTGGACAGCTAATGAATGTAATAGACAGCTTGAACAGCAAAGATCAATTGCCAGGACACTGAGACTAGATAGGAAGATAGACGAACCGGAATCTGCAGAATTGGTAGTTTTATTTTCAAAAGGCGCACATATATTTTTATTATGATTTCAACCTGCTGTTTTTTCCATTAGGGGTCTAGCTTTATTCGCTGTATCAAGCCTAATTTAAAGATGACAAGTCACCATTTTGAAGGTGCCCAGATCCTCTCGCAGCTCCAGTGTTCAGGTAATTTTGTCTGCTTTACTCTGAGTTCCAGTTGCACTATTTGTCAGGGTCATGAAAGGATTTGTGCAGAGTTGAAAGAACAGTGCTTTTGAGAAGCATTCCTTGATTAGAGAAATAGGATAATTTTAAGACATTTTTTCCAAGGCTCTGTCAGTGCAGAGATTACTGTGCATAACAATAAGCAGCAGGCAGTGCTGAATCTTTGTTCACAGAATTTTAAATGGGTAGAAGCCACTTAAATCAATTTTGGAGTAAAATAAGAAAAGAGATTGAAGAGTGCTTGGCATCCTCTGTGCTTTAGAAATTGGTGTCGGCGGTGAAAAGGAAATTTAAATGCTAGCTTCTGAACATAAATGCATTATCTAATTAAAAAAAGATGATCACCCAATCACTACTGGTGGTCCCTTAAAATCTTCTTATATTGTCCTATCCACATAACACAGATATCTGTTTTAATTATTGCACAGCGACTACTGTATTACCTGTCTTCTTTGTGGTTGCATCGTTATGCCATCACTTTATGAAAAGCATTGGGCAAACTGATGTCCTGAAAGCTTTGTAGATATGCATCTTGATTTCACCTAAAAGACAAAAATGCAACCACATTGCATATTGTGGATTGGGTGATCATGGAAGGCTAGCGGCTGCATAACTCCCCTCTGGAGACTACTTATTTCATGGACCATCTGAACTGGATAATGCAAAGTGCCTGTAAAGTCTTTTTGTGATAAACTGATATTTCATAGGCACAACTTAATAACTCTTGCTTGTAGGGGGATGCTACAAAGTATAGAGAGGTGGGAACATTGCAACTCTTGCTTGACTCATTCTGGCTCTTCCATAGCTTTTTTAAAAAGAAGGTGATAATGATTTATCTCATGTCTCTTCCCTACCTCCTAAGAATTCATTGGAAGATCACACATCATAAATGCAAGTCTTGCTACTACCACCAGTGAGAATTTTCTGTGGGTGTGTTTGGGTTCCATGGAGCTTCTCTCTGTTGGCAAGACCTGTCCTCCTGGCCATCCAACGCTTCCTTTACTTGGAGATTGCTTTGCTTATCTATGATTCAGTTTTCTCATTTTCTTTATTTTCTTTCTAGAAGTACATATGCTCCATTTTTAAAAGACTGCCATGTAGAGAACAGATCGAGATTCAGACTGTTATCAGCAAATTTGGATCACAGGACCAATTTGGCACCAGATATGCTATTTTCTCCCGAAATAAGCCTTATTTCCTATTTTCATTAGCTGCCATCTTGGCTCGTCTCTTAATTTCCTGTTAATTTTAGCACATTGGTGGGCCCTGAGGCTTTCAGCATCTGGTTCATCTTGGCAAATGTCTCTAATGCTTGTCATGTCAAGTTACATTTAGAGCTTAATTTAGCAACACTTAACAATTTTGCTTTAATTAGCATTCTATTGACACCATTTTTGGCTGATAATCTGAAAGCTGATTGCTCTTGGCAGTATTGAGAAAGAGGTGGGAAAAGTAATGAAGCTCCTTATTTCTGCATAATACATGAGTCATTTTTTTTGTTTTGTTTTACTGACCGCTGTTTTTATCATCTACGTGAGAAACAAACTCATGTTAAAAAAGATGGAGTAAACCTTAAAGTTTCAAAAACCTTTAAAATCAGCTGAGTGTGCATCAGGGAAGGAGGGAAAGGGAGAGGGAGAAATGAAAATAGTGTGAATGTCTCCAAGAATAAATATAGCAATGTGTTCTATGGCTTTTGTGCCCTCCCTCTGAAAGAACTCTTCATTGGGTGGAAAAATACACATTTTACATTATTTGTGATGTCTCGTACAAATTAACAATACAAAACTCCAAGCACTAGAATATAGTGGATAGGATGTCAAATAAGAACCTTCACTTAATTTTGTAAAATGAAAATATTATATTTGATTACACAGATACTCAATACACACACTTACTGTACTTACTTAGGGAACCCCTCGTTGTTTGAGTATGATGGCCTTCCAAGTGTAATGTCTTGGCAGTGTATACATAGGTGACTCTGGATACCTGTTCTTGATCTGCATGTTCTTCCACAGTGAGGGCATCAGTTTTCAGGTGGAAGGTGATCCTGGTCAGGGTTGGCTTGATGCGTCTTCGTCTTGGCACGTTTCTCCCTTTCACTCTCCATTCGTGCCTCTTCGAATTCCACAGCATTGTTGTTAACAGCTGATTTCCAGTTAGAATGCTCAAGGGCCAAGGCTTCCCAGGTCTTGGTGTCTATGCCATAGTTTTTAAGGTTGGCTTTAAACCCATCTTTAAATTTCTTGTCCTGTCTGCCAACATTCTGTTTTTCATTCTTGAGCTGGAAGTACAGTAACTGCTTTGGGAAGAGGTGATCAGGCATTCGGACAATGTGGCCAGTCCAGCGGAGTTGATGGCAGAGGACCATCGCTTCAATGCTGGTGGTCTTTGCTTTTTCCAGCATGCTGACATTTGTTTGCCTATCTTCCCATGTACAAATATGTATACATTCTTATTTTTAAAAGTTAGTTTAAAGTGAAGTCTAAACAGGAAATATACATGAGTTGTTGTAGGTTTTTTCCAGGCTATATGGCCATGTTCTGGAGGCAATTTTTCTCCTGACGTTGCCTCCAGAACATGGCCATATAGCCCGGAAAAACCTACAACAACCCATGGATTCCGGCCATAAAAGCCTTCGACAATACAGGAAATATACAATTTCCATTAGGTGGGCAAAATATTTGGTTTTTATGAGGGGGGGTTGCAGCTCAACTTTCTACCTTCTTCAACACCCGAGGGTAACCTGATGATACTTTAGGCCAAGATCTGGCTTGTAGAGTAGAAAACCCTGTCAGTGTTGAAATGTAGGATCACAGCTGTATGCTGTTGTGCATGGATCAATCCTCATTTGAATGATGCTAGTTCTGGTCACAAAATAAAGTCTTGGGTACCTCATTGTGCAAAAATGTCAGCACACCCAACCTATCATACATTTGTAAATGGTTTATTTTATGAGATCCTGGTCTTCATCTTTATCTACAACTTATTTTCTTCATTTTATGTATTTTGGTTCAAACTAGTATTACGTTGTTGTTTCTTTGGATACTCATCCTAAAGTACCTTTTTGACATATAGCTCTATATCTGTCACTCTAGGCATGGTATCTGTTTTGGACCTGATGCAAGGTGGCTTCCCATCACGGGCCTCATTTCATGAGCTATATAATATGTACAAAAAATACATGCCTCCAAAGCTGACCCGTTTGGATCCAAGGCTCTTCTGCAAGGTATTAATGTCTAGAGGGCTAAATATAGTCAGCTCTACACATGAATTTTAAAATTTTTTTTATCTTAGAGAATACCTCTTTAGAAATATCAAGGTTCTTCTGCATGACTCTGAGGTCAACTTCCATAGAATTATGGTGGAGGACCTCGAGATTCCAGCAGAGAATGTTTTGATCAAATGGGTGAATAACCAAACCACAAAAGCCAAACCCACAAATGTAGAGGTGCTTTTGTCCATTTGCTTTTGTCCAATAATTAAGTAAAGAGAAACATAAATCATTATTGTTACATCACTAACATTTAATGATTGAATTAAAATTATAAAATCATTATTTTTTAAAAATGAATTGAGACTAAGGGGTTGTATTTAAACAAAAAATTTCAAAGCTCTGATTGATAACCTTTCATCTTCCAGTGGATTTGTTTTATGCATTCATGTGTTTTTCTATTTTGTTAGGCACTCTTCAAAGCTCTTGGGTTGAACGAAAATGACTATAAATTTGGATTAACCAAAGTGTTCTTTAGGCCTGGCAAGGTAAGCATTACTATTATCCATGAAAGTGATTTGAAATGTTCAATATTTTCTCTCCTTCATTTTTGCAAAGTAATTGATAGCTCAGATACCTCTGCTTTACTTGAAATCTAGGATGTAAGAAAGCTCAATTTAATCTTATTCTTTTGATGATTCAAATACAAAAATTGGCATGGCTGTCTCCATGTTTTATTTCTCTGGTTATTTAAAGTATTTTGATTGTAAGTCTCTCTGTGCTCAAGATGGTTTACAGCAAATTGAAAACAAACATCTCGACAATATAGAAAGTCGTAAAATTGTATAAAAGCTTGAAACCCCCATAATTGGTAACACAATGCAATAATTCAAAAGCATTTGCAAGGAAGTAGGCCCTACATCTTTCCTAAAGTCCAGAAGAGCAAAATGAAACTTCTTTATGGAACTTTTTGGATATTACTTAGCCTTTGTGGCTGCAGGGGGGCTGTTTCATAGCTTTCACTGTATTTGTTCTAATGTGCCTTTAATTTGTTTCCAATATATGGTGACCCTAAGCAAAACCTATCACAGGGATATCCTGGAAATATTTGTTTGGGTTATTGCCTTCCACTGAGGCTGAAAGAGTGTGACATGCCCAGGTCACTCAGTGGGTTTCCATCACCAAGGGGGACTTGAATTCTAGTCTCTTGGAGTCCTAGTCCAGCACAACAATACACTGGCTCTGTATGTACTGGTATATAGATGACTATATAAAAGTAATTTGATCTAGACCTGGTACCTTCTGCCAGATCATCAAGCAGCAATTGAAAATGAAACATGTTCTTGGCTTATATAAAACTTGGCTGGTTTTAAAGGCCAGTACATGTGTCTTGTGGGAATTAAATACCCTAAAGCAGGCATGGGGAAACTTTGTCCCTCCAGATGTTTTGGACTTCAACTCCCACAATTCCTAACAGCCTTCCGGTTGTTAGGAATTGTGGGAGTTGAAGTCCAAAACACCTGGAGGGACAAAGTTTCCCCATGCCTGCCCTAAAGGCACCAGCTCCTATCTGATATTGGATGTTGAGGAAGGTCAGCTATGTTTAGTACTGAATGGGAGACCATCAATGAATACTGGGTTATAATTCAAAAGAAAAATTGGCAACACCCCTGCTGAGTATTTCTTGCCTTAAAAAGGCTTTGAAATGTATGGGGTCACCATAAGTTGAGAGGTGACTTAAAGGCACACACACACACTGGCACCTTGCATAGAGTCCAGAAACTGGCCAGCTGCTAGTTGGCCGTCTTACACTTAATTGCAACTACTTGGTGTGTAAGCCAAAGCCTGACTTTCTGAAATCACCTTGGAGAAAGACAGTTGAGTGTAAAATCACCCCAATAGGCTTATCTCCATCTTATATTTTATCCATGGACCTAGAAAAAGCCAAAGCAACTGTCAAGCAGATGTTAATGGACCCTGATTATCAAGAGCTACAAAGAGGTGCAAGCGGACTCTGCTCACTCGGTTGCTGGGTGTATCATGCCCTCTTTACAAGGATACAGTGCCTTTCTAAGCTAGGTAATTTTCTCAAATCACGGAAAGGCTTTCTCCTTGGCAAGGTTTCCTGGCCTTCTCTCTAATCTATTAACTGGCAGATTCAGCAAAACACCACTGAACAGGAGATGGTGCCTATGTGATCATCATAATACTGAAACCATGTCCCACATACTTTTCCACTGAAATTTCGTTGGATGCTTCCTAGTGTCTTTTGTGGTTACCTTGCTTTTGGGCTCTGACAGATTGCTCATGCTTATTTATTTACCATATTTATTCCCCGCCCTTCTCACTTCGAAGGGGCTTTACAAGTAGGCAACAATTCGATACCAAACAAATACATACAATAAAATAAATAAATACTTTAAAAATTAAGAAGTTAAAACATCAAACATTATAATGGTCATTAAAAATCACTTCAAGTGGAAAAACCTTTAAACCTGGCTATTTTAATCAGACTATCTTTGTCTGTGTCATAATCATTCCTTTAATATTGTATTTTTTATAATTAACAATTTGAATTTATATTGCTTATTTGAACACTTATCTTTGTTTTAAAATGTATTGAACATGTTATTCCAGTGGTCTCTTGACTACAATAAAGTATTGTATGTGTGTGTGTATGGGCTGCCATTCCTGTTGCCAGGGTGATAGGCTTCTGTTTATAGCATAACACTTCATTCTTCAACATACCATGACAATTGGCTTCTAAATACCTTTCCCTTGTGTTGGTTTTGATTTTCAGTTTGCAGAGTTTGATCAAATTATGAAGTCTGATCCAGACCATCTTGCTGAGTTGGTAAAACGAGTCAACCATTGGCTTATTTGCAGTCGCTGGAAGAAGGTTCAGTGGTGCTCTCTGTCAGTCATTAAATGTATGTATTCAACATCCTTGTATGAATTCAACATTTAGCCAAATGTTGAAAGTTGCCCAAAATGCTAAAACAGACTGGGGCAACATGTAGTACTCATGCCATCTGTCCTCATTGGCTGTATTGTGTAGGGCTGGGGTGTGTGTGTGTAGGAATGCTAGACTTGATGGAATTTGTCAGAGCTGTATTACCCTCTCTGTATGATCACTAGGCCCATAATTTGATAGGTGTCACCCAGGAAGCAATAGTAGGTGCTCTCCATTGTGTATGTGGATGCTAGAGTGGTTCTTACACATCGGAGAGTTACATAACTTGTGAACTCATCTTATTGATGCCCCCCCCCATTTTGTTTCTTTTTGCCAGCAATCACTGGCAAAACAGAAGGTACTTGTGGCATCTTGCAGCGACCCGCACATCCTTTATCCTTCCACCATCACATGGGGGCATCGAGGCAAGTTGTGTCAGCCCCCTGTCCCTTTCCTCATCAGACAGAGGAAACTGTGGCTATGCTTATTGCCATGTTGCCAAGTTGCAGTTTCCCCCATCAGATGGGGGAAAAGCTCAAACCACGGGTAACTCCATTGGAGCTATCTAAAACTCAACCTACTGTGCTTGGTGAGAAAGTGTCTTGCAGCGCTTCCTTGCCACTTCAGTCGTCAATAGGGTGGGGCCATGTTCTGCATCATGTGATGCCATTTGACAAGTTCCAAAGAAGAGTAAGGGGCCAAAAATCCCTTATGTGATGACTAGATGGTAGTACAGAATGCCTGCTTCTTTTTATGGAATGACAGGAAGGGACAAGGAAGGAGGGAAGCTACTGTAATTTCACTCTAACATGCTCCCTGCCAGTTTCACTGTGTTTGGACAATACACCCATAAGTATAATATACATCCTAAAAGATTGTGGTGACAGGTAAATTAAGCAGCCTTTTGTCATTTTCTTGAATTAGTCCTTTCCCCCTTCCATTTCCAAAACATTGTTTCTACATAGATGCGTGAGACTGTCCACTTCTGAAGGTGTCTCCATCTCTTCCTTGTATTTTACAGTGAAAAACAAAATCAAATACAGAGCCAGTGCCTGCATCAAAATACAAAAGACTATCCGTATGTGGCTGTGTAAGAAAAAACATAAACCACGGTAAGAAGCGAAGTCATGTCAGGGATTGTATTCTCTTCTTGAATATCTTCACTAATAAACCCAGTTACCTGAATGGTATTGGTGCTTAAATTGGTCTAAGGCAGTGGTTCTCAACATGTGAGTCCCCTAGATGTTTTGGTCTTCCAACTCCCAGAAATCCTAATAGCTGGTAAACTGGCTGGGATTTCTGGGAGTTGTAGGCCACAACACCTGGGGAGCCACAGGTTGGGAACAACTGGTCTAAGGCATTAAAAGACTGAGAAATGGGCTGGAAGACATAGTTCTTCTGCAACTTTTGCTTTCTGTACATAATTTAAACCAGATATATGGAATGTTTTGCTGTGCTGCAATGGGCATCATCATGCCCATTATGCTCTGTCCTTTATCTTTTTTCCCCTTATGATTTCTTGGACTGAATTGGGTAGTTTCTTTGATCCGATTTAGTTTGTTACTTGGCCAAACATATCTTGAATGACTTATTATATCCAATGAATTATGTATAATTGTCTGAAACAGGAACAGAAGGTACTGTTATTTTTTCTGCTGACACTCTTTGTCCTGTTGAGCAGATTTTTAGGGTCTTGAGACAACTTCCAGAGCTGCTTGAATGCCTTTTTTAAATGTCTTTCCCTTTTTAGCATTTGTTTGTTTTGGAATTTGGTTTTTCTTTTACCATGTTACACTTCCATGTTTTCTCTAAATGAGACAAATCCATTGGTTTTGCCCAAAGATAATTGAGCAGCATAGTACAGAATTTCAGTCTCTATTTGCTCTCTGCTTCATAAATGCTGTAAACTCTCTGAAACTTAAAGAGGTTTTTCCATTCACAGCATTGATGGTCTAATCAAGGTTCGCACCCTGAAGAAGAGGCTTGACAAATTCAATGAAGTAGTGAGTGCTCTGAAAGAAGGGAAACCAGAAATGAGCAAGCAGGTCAAAGACCTTGAAATGTCTATTGATGCTCTAATGGTCAAGATAAAGGTAAGACAATATTTAACTCTTGGGCAGATCAAAAGAAATATATATATTTTCCTGTAAATCAGAGGTAGGCATAATTTAACTTATAGGGGCAAAAAAATCCTGGGCCATTTTTGTAGGTCATAGACTCCCGCTGGGTCAAAAATTCAATCCCAGAATACCGTAATGTACTCTAGGGGTATGGAGGGAATTGCATTATGTTTGGAGTCACCCTGGGTCATAGAGGATCAAAAGCATTTCTTGTTTACCTCCAGATGCCAAAAAATGTCCTTATAGGGAGCATGGGATGCTTGCTACTCTGATTCAACTTTAAAAGATAACGAATCTCTTAACAGCTTTAAAACTAACCAAGAAGAAGGAAGAAAAATCAATCATAAACTTTTGTAGACTCTATTCTTCTGGTCCTAACGAAGTTGACTGGAGTCCTCAAAACCTTATACAGTACTAGGTTTTCTCAGTCTCAAAGGCTTTGCTGTTGTTCCTCCTGCAAGAAGCTTCAAACTCACATAAGGGGTCGCAGTAGCACAGCAGGTTAAACTTCTAGATGCAGAAAAACTGCTGACTGGTAGGTTGGCAGTTTGAAGTTGAGGTTTGGGGTAAACTCCCGATGTTTATACCATTACATCTCCACCTGAAACAGTATTCAGTTGAATGCTACTCCTGGATCCAAATTAGATTATTATAGTTTAATATTTTGTAGCTGGAGCCCCCAGTGGCGCAGTGGGTTAAACTGCTGAGCTGCTGAACTTGCTGACTGAAAAGTCAGTGGTTTGAATCCAGGGAGTGGGATGAGCTCCCACTGTTAGGCCCAGCTTCTGACAACCTAGCAGTTCAAAAACATGCAAATGTTAGTAGATAAATAAGTACTACTCCAGTGGGAAGGTAACAGTGTTCCATGCAGTCATGTCAGCCACATGACCTAGGAAACATCTACGGACAACATTGGCTCTTTGACTTAGAAATGGAGATGAGCACCACTCCCCAGAGTTGGGTAAGACTAGACTTAATGTCAAGGGGAAACCTTTCCCTTTTATCTTGTAGCCACTTATACGACACCGTTGTCACACTCCTTTTTCAAGCAGAGCAAAGCATGTATGCAGCGAATACACCTTTCCCTCATTAACTTTGTTCCCCTCTCACTTTTAAATTGTGAGATGCTGAGGCACTCCTTTTTTTGCATGTGCAAATTCTCATGGTTTATTTTGCAGGCAACTGTAATGCCTAGACAACAGATACAGAAGGAGTATGATTCTCTAGTTAAAAGCTCAGAAGAGCTTCTGAGCTCCTTACAGAAGAAGAAGCAACAAGAAGAGGAGGCAGAAAGGCTGCGGCGTATCCAGGAAGAGATGGAAAAAGAAAGGAAGAGGCGTGAGGAAGAGGAGCAACGTCGGAAGAAGGAAGAGGAAGAAAGACGATTGTGAGTTAACTCTAGATCATCCGCTCTAGGTCTGAGGCTATGGGGGAAAGCATGGTGGTAGTGATGGGGAAACTATTGAAAATTTTGTGCCAGAATTCTAGAGAGCTCCACTTTTAAAACCGAGATTGTAAAGACATTCCACCTCTGGAACAGACCCCGTATTTCTTGCTCAAATTGTTTTTTCAAACATCTTATTTCCAGCCTGTGGTAAATGCAGAGAGATCCTCATTTCTTATCATCCAAATAGCAAAGCATTCTGCTGGAGAAAAGATCATTCTTTGTCCAGATAATCTGAATGTATTCAGTGTTCCATTATCATAACATTGGGTGTGTTTGTATGTTTGTGTACCATCCATTCATCAAAAGTAGATCTCAGGTGTGGGAGAACTAGCTTTGTAGAAATACAGTTTAAATACATAAATAACATATCCAAAACAATCCAGTTAGAAGAGAAGGAAAGCCCAAAGGGTGTATTGGGGTGAGAGACAGCATAACTGTTCTTTTGGGACTCACAACAGACATGAAATTGAACCTCCATATACACAATTTCTACACTCACAGATGCAACCAACCACAGCTTTAAAATATTAGGAAAAAGAAATTATTGAAAGAAAACTTCAGTTCCTCCCCCCATGCACTGAGCACCATGCTGATGCATTGACATACCCTGCTGCAGCTTCCAGCCATTTCATAGCTCCTCAGGGTCTCTCTGGCACTTGTTTTGAGTTTCTTGCCCTTTATTTAGAGGCCACCATTTTACTACACTATTGTGGGATGTAAACATCTATGAATCTTTGTATCCACACAGGCTGTGTGTGTGTGTGTCCTAGAACCAAAGCCCAGTGGATAGTGAGGGCCCACTGGACACCACACTGTACCATTTAATTGCTATTCAATATCTTAGATAGCTCTGCCCTCCCCAATGCAGATGATGGTAATAAGAGTATTCATAAGCCTCAGCAATCATATCCCATAGTTAATGATAATTAGTATTATATGGTAAGCTGCAAGTGAGTGGAAAGCATATTGCAGTTCAATCTTTCTTTCTATAACTGTCAATTTTATTTTTCCTAGAAAATATGAGATTGAAGCAAAGAGAAAACAGGAAGAAGAAGAGAGGAAAAAAAGGGAAGAAGAAGAAAAAAGAATTCAGGTGTGTAACTATAGTTGTGATGCTTTCTGTATTTTGCAGCATTATCCCAAAGCTTCCACTGGCTAAAATCTCGAGTTGAAACCTTTAGACATGTGTGGAATCATAGAATTGGAAGATTGCAAATCCAATGAAGTTCAGTCTGCCGTCATTCAGGAATACACAGCTAAAGCACTTCTAAGAATAGGCACCCAGTCTGTGTTCAAAGACATCCAGCAAGAGTTCACCACCCTCTGAGGAAGCCTGTTCCACTATTGAGCAGTTCTTACATTCCTCCTAATGCTTAGTTAAAACGTTTCTCCTCTCTCTCTTGTAATTTGAATCCATTAGTCTGTGTTTTAATCTCTGGAAGCATGAAGATATTTTAAAATGGTGATACTTTTAAAAATGGGGGGATGGAGATCATGCAACTTTTTAGAAGTTGTTGAACTGCAGTTCTGAGTAACATTACTATTGTCAATGGTGAGATATGCTGTGAGCCGTAATTCAAACACATTGGGAGGGCTGCTTATTTACACCCTTGTATTAAAAAAAGTCCTCTTGAGATGGAACTGTGGAGGGGCATCCAGATGTTGTCGGCCAGCATCTTGTTTGTGATTTATGTAAGGGAAAATCCAACATCTTATTTGGTCATTTGGGAGGTTGGTATTCTCTTAGTCCCTCCACAGTGACCAACCCACCCTAACTCATTTTTCACTTGTGATAGCTACATTGAATGGCAATTCAGTGGCTGGCCAAGAGCTGAAAGGACTCCTCCTCTTCCTCCTCCTCTTCCTCTTCTTCTTCTTCTTCATAGTAGCAGTAGCAGCAGCAGCAGCAGCAAAATGTCTAGCTCTGAGGCAAATCATTTCATGAAATTTGATTTCATTATCTGCCAAGCTCTCCAGAGCACCATGGCAGATCTCCATGGATCATGATATTAGGCTTCATCTGGCTATGGGGACAACCCCCTGCTGACCTCTAGCTGCTGCTGAATGGCACACAAGCTTGGTGGTTGTGTGTGTGTGTGTGGGGGGGGGGGGGGGKGCTACCATGGCAAAATGCTGAGCCCTGAAAGGGGCAAGGGGGAAGCAATTATATAATTCGGCCTGCAGAATTGTCTGTGCTCAGTGGTGGCAGATCTCTGCCATAACCTGAAGGAGAGGTGAGATAGAGATAAGAGCTTCTAAAGGGGACAGGTTAAAAATGCAATTTCTTCAAAGAGACTTCCAGATGTTCATTTTAAGCAGACAACTGTAGTACATGTAAGAGAGCATCTATTTCATACTGTAATAAACGTTAACCTTTACGTTTGCTGATCTGCTTTCAACCCAATATGAACGTTAAGAGAATTCAAAGAAGAGCGAGAAAGAAGTTCTGGTGCCTAAAAAAGAAAAGTACTTGTTAGGAGAAAGGTGTCAGGCTTGAGGGCTGAGGTTTAATGAGAGAGCTTTTGCTATTCACAGATATGACAGAATAATGAAGCTATGATCTAGATGTCAGGCTTGTTAAAGGATTCTTTGCAAAGTAACATTCATTTGCGAAGTTTTCAGTTATTGTCTAATAGAAACCTAGTGACAAAATATATTGCTTGATAGTTAGGTTTTGCTTTTTTGTGGAGGTATAATTGACATCTTCTTTGTTTTGTAATGTGGCTTTTTATTAACTTTCTAAACTACTGCTGTTTAGATTTACAAGTCAAAGATGGTTGTTGAGTTTTTAACCCATGAATTCCCAGATATCCATGCCTGCAAATATTTTATATAACTATAATTAAATGCATAACATGCAAATTTCAGAGATTTTGCAAAATATGTGTGCTTGGGTCCCAAAGGATTACTGAGAGCAGCCATCTAATTGTTGTACATGCAACACTACAATTTGCAAGGTCTGGAGGCTGTCCAGACCTTGAACCGGTGCTTGGCTGCTGTGTCGGACTGGATGAGAGCTAACAAATTGAAATTGAATCCAGACAAGACAGAGGTCCTACTGGTCAGTCGTAAGGCCGAACAGGGTATAGGATTACAGCCTGTGTTAGACGGGGTTACACTCCCCCTGAAGACGCAGGTTCGCAGCTTGGGAGTGATCCTGGACTCATCGCTGAGCCTGGAACCCCAGGTCTTGTGGTCTTAAAACTTGTGCGCCAGCTGCACCCGTACCTTGGGAAGTCGGATCTGGCCATGGTGGTCCACGCTCTTGTTACATCCCGAATAGATTACTGCAACGCACTCTACGTGGGGTTGCCTTTGAAGACTGCTCGGAAACTCCAACTAGTCCAGCGGGAGGCAGCCAGATTGCTCACCGGAGCGTCATACAGGGAGCATACCACCCCCCTGTTATGTCAGCTCCACTGGCTGCCGATCCAATTCCGAGCACAATTTAAAGTGCTGGTTTTGACCTACAAAACCCTATACGGTTCCGGCCCAGTGTATCTGTCCGAACGGATCTCCCTCTATGTCCCACCTCGGAGTTTAAGATCTTCTGGGGAGGCCCTGCTCTCGACCCCGCCTCTATCACAAGTGAGGCTGGCGGGGACGAGGAGCAGGGCCTTCTCGGTGGTGGCCCCTCACCTGTGGAATTCACTCCCCGGGGAGATTAGATCGGCGACTTCCCTCTTGTCATTTAGAAAAAAATTGAAAACTTGGATGTGGGACCAGGCATTTGGACGTTCTGGCAGCTAGAGGAAGGACCTTGATGATGGACAGGAATTGACTGAACGGAATGGATTTATGGAACTCTGAACACTGAGCATGAGATTAGTTTACTGATTGTGTTATGTACTGATGATTCTAACCTGTTAATTGTTTAATTGCTGTTTTGTATGTATGTATATTTGACATAGGCATAGAATTGTGCCTTCTTTGTAAGCCACCCTGAGTCCCCCCTCGGGGGTGAGAAGGGCGGGGTAGAAGTAATAGAAATAAATAAATAAATAAATAAACACTAATGTAGACAGGATTAATAACCAAGATTATAGCAACAAGTATGATTGACAATTGGAAAATAGAGGGAGAAAACGTGGAGGCCGTGACAGACTTTGTATTTCTAGGCGCAAAGATTACTGCAGATGCAGACTGTGGCCAGGAAATCAGAAGACGCTTCTTCTTGGGAGGAGAGCAATGTCCAGTCTTGATAAAATAGTAAAGAGCAGAGACATCAGACTGGCAACAAAGATCCATTGCCTAGTCAAAGCCATGGTCTATCCCTGTAGTCACCTACGGATGTGAGAGCTGGACCTTAGGGAAGGCTGAGCGAAGGAAGATAGATGCTTTTGAGCTGTGGTGTTGGAGGAAAGTTCTGAGAGTGCCTTGGACTGCGAGAAGATCCAACCAGTCCATCCTCCAGGAAATAAAGCCCGACTGCTCATTGGAGGGAAGGATACTAGAGACAAAGCTGAAGTACTTTGGCCACACCATGAGGAGACAGGAAAGCCTAGAGAAGACAATTATGCTGGGGAAAGTGGAAGGCAAAAGGAAGAGGGGCCGACCAAGGGCAAGATGGATGGATGGCATCCTTGAGGTGACTGGACTGACCTTGAAGGAGCTGGGGGTGGTGACGGCCGACAGGGAGCTCTGGCGTGGGCTGGTCCATGAGGTCACGAAGAGTCGGAGACGATTGAACGAATGAACAACAACAAATGTAGACAGGAATTTAATCTTATGAAATGTAGTATTTATTTCTTTTATGTATTTGAAAAGTTATTTAACATTCTAGCTAGTTAGTACTGACTTTTAAAAATGTTTTCCAGTCAAAGAGATCTTTGCTGTTGCAGCCTATTTGTAATCTTAGAGCTATTTGAAGAACCTTGGGAAGAAAACCAGTTTCATATCAGTTAGATAATGGCTGTAACTTTTTCTTTAGACACCAAAACCTTGGTGAGTGGTGTGACATATAAAGTTAATAGTACAATTAACTTTGAGTTGAGTTCAGATGAATTTGCAAAATTGCATATTTGTCATAAATAAACCAGCCTGAGTGTTAATAGGCAAAGATTAATAACACAGCCTTTATATGTGTGTGTGTGTGAACAGATCTCTTTGACTGGAAAACATTTTTAAAAGTCAGTACCAACCATGGGGGAGGGGGGGCTGATTGGGCCATAACGCTGGCCAGTTCTTTCCAGGGGCCGCTCTGCCTCTGTTTCCATCTCTACTATGGAGGGCTGTGAAACAGAGAGTAGGATCCTCCAGCTGGGCCGGGGGGTCTGGGAGCCATAGGAAAACCACGGTTGGGGGGGGGGGACTGCCTTGTCCCGCACTATCAGCCAATCTTTCTTGAGCCCCCCCCCCCCCGTCTTCGCCTCCATCTTCATTTCCAAAAGTGTCACAAATTGAGACATCGACTGGACCTCCTACACTTTGAAGAACTGTAAAACCGAGAGGGAAAGCTCCTGCACTAGATCCAACACCACTGCCCACTACGTTCCTGACCACACCAAGAGCCTTGTGATTGGAGAGCACCCAGACCAAGACAAACATCAACAGACTACAAAGTTGTTAGACTGCTTGACTGCCAAATCACTGTATGAACCTCATACTCAGATTGTTGCAAGGATCCCACGCTCAATGATCCACAACACCATCTGATACTAAAGCCGTGGTGGGAGACTACAATCAAACCGCTACCAGACCATCGTGTATGTCTGCCAAGCCACTGCAAGAAACTGCTATCAACCACCACCACCGGGACATTTAATGGTCAGAATATGCTACCATAGACTGGGAGTAAGTCATCTACATTCTTCTGCATCCACCATAGTGGAACGCTCACTGAGCCATTATACACCCTAAATATTCCTTCTTGTTAGCTGCTACGCCCCCATCAGTGGAGACTAATATGAACCTACCTGTTGATGAACTTGGCGTGACCCCAGAGTTATGCAACCTTATATCCCAGACACTCCAGCTCATCTGGTCCAATATTGAGTCCCTAAATAAGAAAATAGATCAGCTTATGAGAATGGTAGATGGGGCTATGAAAAACATGGGATTACCCCAAGAAGAGATAACATGTTCAGGTGTCCT